TTCACTTTTTATGAAATCATGAGATAAATCCATCATAAACTAGCATATTTTACCAATTATCTGTGATACAATTCAACAACATATACAATGCAACATATAAACTCATCTCTAAGCTTGACAGATCAGATCATTTAAGTACTTGAGGGCATAAAGGATTGGAGTTTTAGTTTATACTGCCTGAGGAAAGAAAAAGTATGTGCAGGGAGGGGAGGGAGAAGAAATAAATAATGGTTAAGTAGCACTTTTAAAGACCTTCCTCTAATGATTTCCAGAGTTGAGTAAATTTGTTTCATTTTGGTTACTGTAGAGTTAATCATTGCTGTCATAGCATAAGAAATGCTGCTCTACTGGATGACTGCCAGCACATAAAAAGGAGATTCCACAGTTACGGACAAAACAATTCCAATTGTACTACTTCTTCACTGGTAGATTTTTGTGGCAAAACATGCTTCTTTGCATGAAGTAGCTAGAAACCAGCACACTTCTGTGAATAATTATTAACAATAAATAATTATTACTGCTATAGAAGTAAAATTTACTTATAATACACAAATATTTTATGGAATTCAGATCAAAAGCAAACTATTATGAAAATATTTACAATCTGTATTCCACCAAATATTTTCCAAAATCTAAGTTGTGTATGACTAGCTAATTCACATCTTAAACATCAGAACATGACTGCAGTTAAAAAATATTGATGAACAAGTTAGGCAAAGTCTTAGCACTATTTTCAAGTACAAACCTTGCTTTGACTTTACAAACTATACTTTAGCAGCTCAGAAAACCATAGGGGGAAGGTTTTCTTCCCTGTCATTCCCTGTGGGTACAATCAGTGTAGAAGTGATAGATGTGAGCTCATCAATGGAATTTGATATGGTTTTTTTTGTATCTTCAGTTATTTGGCAACATTTGATAATGGTTTATGAAAAAGAAAAATGTACAACCATTAGTATATGCACTTATCTGCTTACTGAACTCATGAGAAGAAACGTTTTCACATTCACTTAGTGCCTCTATATTCAAGCAGTGCCATTTCAAACCCACACGAAGGTACAGCCAGATGAGCTTGCCTCTTCCTACAACCTTATCTTAATTACAAAGCTGTATTTTATCTCCGCTAGCTCTAATAGCATAGGTATATACAATTTATCTTGCAATAAATCAGCTAATCCATGGCAAGTGTCCCAAAAATGTTTTTATCCCATCATAATTCAAAGTGTTTAATAAAGTATAAGCAGCAAGATGCACCACATTTACTGTAGCTCAAGAGCACGTTCCCTGGCTGTTACGAGGAAATAGCTTATATGCTGCTAATTCACATCTTCACATTATGCAATCTGCTTATATACCCTTACCTTAACTATCTGGAGCATCAGGCTTTGTAAACTGAAAAGCAATGTGGCCACTGTAAATCAAGATAGCATTCTTCAGTAACAACCTTTGTTTTCAGGAATCATAGCACAAGAGGAGGAATGAACTGCTAGGTCAATACAACAAACAAAAATTATTATTTATTTACGCTAGGAGAGTTAGTTGACCTTCACAAAAACAAACCCACAATGACTTCCTAAAATCTAATAGAATACTTCTATCCTACAGAAAACCAAAACACTGTGAAAAGTTCCTTGAGAGTACACAGCTATTTTGCAACTCAATTTTAGGTTTCAAAATTGAGTATATACCATCATGAATGTGATACCTTTATTGCATAAGTATTTGTTCAACCTAAAGCTTTATAGAAGCTTTATAGCTTCTATATAGCTTCTATGTTCAATCTAAAGCTTTATAGATATTTAAAAATGAAATCTAATCTTGAGTTAAGTCATTTCAAATATTTTTAAAAAGAAATTTCACTTAATTAGGTCTCAGTTCTGGAGAACACAGCAGCAAATATTTCAGAAGAATGGGGGACATCTACTGCAATAAACAAGCATAGAAAATAATCTAGGCATCCCAACATATGGCAATTCCTCCCAAATTTGACATTCAACCTTTCCAAATAAATATTGGCAAGAAGTAGAGGCCCCAAATTTAACAATTTGCAATGGCAATAAAAAGGAAGACTTCATAGAGTGTTTTGTGTTCCCCCTGCTGGTTTAGCTGTCACCTTAATATCACTGTTCCTAGAAGCAGGCATCAAGACGCAACTGCATTCAAAGATGTTCTGAATAGCAGCAAAGAAAGAAAAATTGGACCTTACTTCTCAAAAGACCTTGCACACATGGCAGACTGACCACTTAGAGCGTGCTCAAGGCATTTTCGCTGCTGTTGCTGGCATATTTTTAAAGAATAAGGACAAATCAGCATTAGGGCCATGGATATACATGCAAAGTTGAACTATTTTTCAGGATCAAAGACCAAGTAAGACTTCCCCCAAGAGGGGAAAGTGTGATAGAAGACAAAAATTCTCAAGTGCCACTTAGGCTTAACAAGGTTGGGTTACAGCAAACAACCAGGGAAAGCGAGTTCCAGCGAAGAGGACTCCTCACTGAACAAAACCAACAAGGTGCTCCCTGCCACCGGCCTTCCCTTCTCCCTGGCAGCGAGGAGCTCCAGCCGCCGCCGTCAGCCTCTGCTCAGCTCCACGTCCCTGGCAGAGAAGCTCCTCCGCGGCCCGGAGTCAAGCCCTGGGAATGGGGCTTCACAGGCTGAACTGCAGCTGCTCAGACTAACACGAGGCTACCCTTAACATCTTGCTAATGCTCACGTGGGGAACACTTTGACAAGACACCTCCGCAGCTCTAATTAAAATCCAACAACCAGACTGCAGTTTTCTTGGGATTCATGGAAAAACTTGAAAGAGAGGAAATGAAATATTCCTAGCAACAAGTAATAAAACAAGCAGACATGTGCCTTTGGAAAGAGCTGCATTTAGGTGCAGTCTTGCAGTCTTCTGCGATGAGGCTCGGAGAGCAGCAGCGCTCCAGTTCCCCGGGTGCCTGAACCTAACGGGTCCCCCAGCCGTTGAAAAGCGGGAGATCCTCTTGCTCCAGGCTCCCTCCCCAGAGGGGCTCTCGTATCAGCCAGCTTGCCCTCAGCCGAAATAAAGTAAATAAACAGTTAACTCGGTAGAAATACAGACCCGACCAGGTCGCTGAGTTTCTTAAAACAAGATCATGGCACGGAATCAGCCAACTTTTGATTTTTTTTCTCCGAACAATTCAAAGCTTTATAAATCCTGTTAAAGTATTTCTAATAAAGCTTAACTGCACTGACTATCATGCATTTGAGAAAAAAGAAGATATGGATGCATTAAATTATACCAACTATTGCTTAAGGGACTCTAGATAACCAGGCTGCACCTTGTTACATCCACAGCAAGTGAGAAAGGTATAACCTGCACTCGGCCATCCCTGAAACCCACTCTTTCGGAAAGAAGTATTTTCCTCAACAGCGTTTGCCTTCAATAGCACAACTCTGGAGTCGGAAGCGCATCCCAATCGGGGGCAGGCCGAGCTGCTGCGTTCAGAGGTGCCTGCCGTGCCACCTCACGGCACGCGGCGCTGCCCGCGCTGGGTGCCGCGGCTCGGCCGCCCCGGCCCCGCTCCCGGCCCGGCCGCTTCCTGCCGGCGACCTCGCCTCGTGCGCGGCGGCCCGCCGACACCGAGGACTTCCCTTCCCCACCTGCAGCCGGTCTCTGCCCTCATCCCACCGCCGCTCAGCTCCGGCTCTCCCGCACGCCGCGGGGGCCGGGCGCGCTGCGGGCGGCAGCGCTCACCGCTGTCACCTGCCCGCGCCTGCGGTGGCCCCCGGTGCCGGCAGCGGGAGGGAGGGCCGGCGGCGCCGCGCAGGTGGCGCGGGGCGCGCTCCGCCCGCACCTACCTCCGCGCAGGGCTGTCCGGGCGCCGCTACGCCATGGGCGCCGCGCCGCTCCGCCGGGCACGGGCGCGGGGCCGGGGCCGCCGCTACTGCGCGGCCCGCGCTGCGCGGGAGGCGGAGAGCGAGCAGCAGCAGCAGGAGGAGGAGGCGCGCGGCCGCCCGCCCGGCCCCCAGCCCGCGAGTAACCCCATGGCTGCGCGGCGCCGCGCGCACGGCCGCGGCGGGCGGGACCGGGCGGGACGGGCCGCGCCGCCATTGGGCGCGGGGCGGGAACGGGCGGCGCAGGCCGGCCCCGCCGCCGCGCGTTCTGCGCCCGCCCGCGCCGCGGCGGACCGCGACCTGCGGGAAGTCTCTAGGACGTTTGCAGTAACTGCGCGCATCGCTCCGGTCACTGATTACGCTTGCCCTCGTCCACAGCACCGCATACCGAATAACGCGTGCGGGACAGCCCTGCGCACCGCGGCAGAGCTAGAGTTTGATCCGAGCCTGCAGCCAGCGTGCAGGCAGAGCAGGCGGTCGGGGCAGTGCTCCAGCGCGTCAGCCCTGTGCGCCCTGGCTGCCCCAGCTGCGCCCTCCCAAGGCCAAGTCCTAGGCTCTAGACACCTAGGTGCGAGTTATGGGCAACCCACTGCAGTTTTGCTCATCTACAGCAAGCAAAGTCATCCTGTAATGACTTTTTGTTTTGTTAATTAACAACAGAAAACTGCATTCATCACAAAATGCACTTTCCGGAGTGTCCAAACTCCACTTTGCACAGCATCAAGATTAGTGAATTTAGAACTACACAAGCCAACATCACAGTTCAGGGGTCAGGAGCAAGCTGAGGGCTCTCGGTCTCCAGGCCCAGCTCAGCAGCATTTACCTCCTAGAACAACACGGGGAGATGCAGCTTTTGAGGAAGCCTCCGACCACAAAGGAGGCCTTGAGGTTGTACTGTGCTTATTCCCTAAACATCCTGCTAAAGCAACAGCATTTTACAAACGCAACCAAATTTGAGATACTATTTTCCCTCTCCTCACAACAAAGCTTCCATCAAGGTGAGCAAAACTGAGCCCTAATCTTCCCCCTACTAAATAAGCAAGAATTCTTGTACACATACAGAAAAGCAGAGATATAAAGAAATGAAGAGGAACTTGAGAGTGTTTCTTCAAAAAAATCCACCATTTTAGTCTGCTTACAACATTGGTTGTCAGTGGTGCTCTCTGGCTTCACTTTCAGTCAGGAACACCTGGTGCCAAATGGCAGCCCAAGTCCTCAGAGCCACCTGGAAGAAGCATTAAAAGATGTCAGACAATTTATTCACTTTATCTTGAAATGCCAAATATCAAAATAATCTATTACCACTACTTGTTTGCTCTTTTTTCCCCCATTTGAATGAATCCTAGTCATGTACTACTGTTGCATGTGCTCTAAGTCAGGAAATAATCCTGTGCTTGAGCAAGCTTGCTCAACAACAAGGTGCTCGAGCACCCATTTTTAGCAGCAATACTGAGCACCTCACTAAGACTAGGCCTCAAATCTTTGAGAATTTCTACATAAGAGACTCTTGGAAAGTAAATCCAATGGTTGATATAAGAACTCAGTTTACATTAAAGATTTCAGGGGGCAGACTTATAAAACCTGCAGAAACAGGTAAATACAAGTTCAAGCTGTGTTGGCAGCCTAAACCCAGTTACACAATGTTTGATTTTTTTTTTTTTTTTTGGTGTTCGAAAAGTTGAACATGTTGAAGCATGACATACTCCTCTCTTACCACCCCCTGTCTATAGGTAGGAAGTAAAATCTTTGCAAGAGAGGTATGGAGGTGGGGGAAGTCCCTTCAACAAAGGAGAAAATATTCTACAGCACTACAAGTTACATATATATATCTCAATGCATATTGTGTCTATTTCATTTCCGCTAGCTGATTAAAATGGGATTGAAACTTCAGAAAAATTTTTCTTTGATTTCTGTGATTTTTCTTTAAAACTAATTTAGGTCCCAGTTCCACAGAGATGATTAAACAAATTCAGTTAATTCAAATTAGCAGTCATCAAAACTAAGCAAGTCTAGAATATTAGTCATATCCACAAATCCTGGCAAAATCACATTCTTGGTACACAGCTCTGACAAAATTACTTTCATTATTTCCACAGATTTCCGTTAAGAAATGATTCTTGTCCTTCAAACTAATTTTATGAAGATAGCAAGCATTCCTTGACTGTATTTGAGGCTTTACACTCCATCAAATTCAGAAGTTATGCTGTGAACATGGAATCTTGATTTTCTTTCTCTTCCCTACTACAAGCTGTGGTTGTTACCATATCAAATATCCTTCCTGCTAATGATTGTATCCTTACAATGAGTAGAATTATGCCTTAAATAGTCACTACAAATGGTTGTCCACTGATGATCACCTGCTTAATTAAAGCACTACTTCAAAATTCTTTTCACACCAGAAGAAATGCAGGATACAACAGCCTGCCAAAATGTTCAATCTCAAATTGACTAGGAGGTTCTAATCTTGAAAACATAGATTTCTAATCTTGAAAACATAGATTTCCATAAACAAGCAGTGTATTTACATGTCTTACAGTAGTTTAACATCATAGAAATGGTTCCCAGATACTAGTAAGGAATAATTCTCACTTAACATTGTCTTACCTTGCACAACATCTAGAATTTTTTCAAGGCTAAAAGATTGTCCCAGGCACTATATCATGAAAAAAATCAGGACAATAAGAAGGACCACACTATTCCAAGAACTGATCACTTTTAAATTTAAAGATTCTTCAAGTGCTAAAGAAGCAGTGGTACTTTTAAAAGTCTAGAAAAAAACTAAATAGGCTACTCATTAACTTTCCAAGGATGAGTAGGCATTCCATAAAAATAATTTGACTAAGACTGGTCTTGAACTGTAATAAAACACTCAGAGTGTATTCACATGCGTGTGAGTGACAGTTACTGCTCATGAGCTGAACCGCAGTTACTGCCTAGGTAGCCCATTCTCAGACGGCCCCCTCTGAGGCAAAATGCCATTATTTAAAATAAACATTGTGATTAAGCTGAACTACTTTACTTTGGAACTGGAAGGGGGATGGGAGAAAAAACACACTAACTCTGTTGCTGTGCTGCAGGAGCTCCACCTTTACAGTCATATGACTACATCCTTAGGACCTTCAATTAATAAAGTCATTAAAAGCCTCTTAAGAAATAACTCATTAATACAACCTAGCAAGGCAAAAAACTACATTCCTTACTGAATGATCCTGCATTCCTCAGGCACCTAAAGCTTTTGCTCAAGTTAAATAAATGTTAGCATTGAACTGTTAGGCTTGTCCACACTTGAAAGTTACTCTGGATTAAGACAGGGAATGAACATCAAGTGCAGCAGTAAGTCTGGAAAATTTTCAAATACAGCTAAGTGATATGGATCCTGGAGTTACCATAGGTCTTGAGCACAAAACTGATACTAGATATGGAATCTGTATAACACATTCTTTAAAATTTCAAGAGGACAAACAAAAATTACTTCAGTGTGACTAACGATGTGCCTCCCATTCCTCCTTTCATGCTTTTTTGCACAGGCTCCACTCTACCTAGCAATCCTCTGACCAACTGTATTATACTCCTAACCCTCCTTCAAACATTTTTATGTTAAGATTCTTACAGGCCCTCAACCTAACAAGTGCAAACACAAGCAGGAGGAAAGAGAGATTGAGAAGGGGGAAAAAATTAACAAAAGATCAAACAAAAACATGGAAGGAGCATACATACCTTTGCTGCTCAGACTCTTCTACCCAGCTGTATCTCTTTCCTCATACTATATGTTGTCTCTTTAGAGGCTAATCCAAAACCTAGTCAAATAGATAAAAGTTAACAGGTGACTTTCAATTATTCAGTTCTGGACAATTCTCTTCACATTTGATCACAATACACCTAAAATTTACCAGGAGTCAAATAAAAATAAAACTATTAAGTAAATAATACATATTTTCAGATTCAAATCCACATATTAAATAACTCATCCACACTTGGGAATACTTAAATCATGGAGTTAAACATATGACTGAAATTGCACATGTGGTCTGCAGGATTGCATCTTGCATTGCTGCATTCCGTTTCAAATTTTAAAAGTACACTGCGGGCTTGTGGTTTCCAGAGCTCTTTAATGAAATTCTTAGCAGTCAAGGTGTAAACATCTGAGGCTAAAATCTTTTTATGTATACAATGGCCTAATTACTTCATTATTTTTCACGTACATAATACCCACATGGCAACAAGTGTTTTACTGAAAAACATCAAGACAATCTGCTGCCTACAGAGTTAACAGCTTAAACTGGCAAAGGTAAGTGAAAGGAAAGAAAGACTGAAAGTAATTGAGCATTGAAGTTTCACACATTGTATTAGTTATGTGGTTTGGAATATTTTCTTTTACCTCTCTTCCATCTTTTGTTGATTTGTTTCTCTTTCTTGCCTTTCCCAACCTGATTTGATTGCAATGACAGGATCCACTGGGTTGACCCAGAAATGGAATGAGATTCAGGTATAGACCCAGATTCACTGAGGAAGCAGAGAAAAAAAACAAAAAAAGCAGCATTATTAGACGTGTTCATTATCTTTTATAATGGATATTTCACCAAACAGTAAGAATGCCTAAAATACAGCTATGTGAACTGTATTTGTCCCAAAATAAGGAAAATCATTTAGGTGTATAGAATGTACCTATAAATTTCAGTGAAATTACAAAGTGATTTTAAGTTAAAAAAAGAGGTGCAAGTCCTTATTTTAAAGCAAACTACCATTTTATTATCAGTTTCTTTGCAAAGAAACTTGAAGCTAGAGAGATATTTCATTAAGATGTTTCCAAGATGACATAATCAATATCTTAAAGCTTTAGACACTGAATTTTAAATTAGAATGATAAAATAAATATGTAATTAGTATATACACTGTTTTCAAAATTGCTCCCCCAGCGGTAAGTTTTCTAGTTAAACAAGTTAGCTGTATGAATTTCAATATCGGCCTTTGACAATTTCTGGATTTGAGAATCACTAAGTATACACAAGCTGCAATATATTTCTTGTTTGAGCTTCAAAAAAGTCAACAATGGAATTCTGCACTGTTGTTTCCTGATCAGTTTTAGAACTGCTCCTTGGAGGATATACTTTTTGTGAAAAAATATTACCAAGACTGTTAGAAAAAAGTTTACAATATTTCATTTTTCACTTTTGTGACTTTCACTATGCATTTAGATAGAAGTACAGATTAAAGTCAAATTTTCATAGACATATACTGTATAGTGTTTGCTGTTTCAGGTGACATGTGTGTGTATATATATTTAACATATATATAAATATAAAAGAATTAGAGTCCTTTTCACAAGTATTGAGACAATTTCTTACTTCCAAGTGATCTGTAATATGCTACACTCTTTATTTGGTCTTAGACTGTTACTGATTCATCTCCTTATGTTGGGTATTTGTTTTGCCTGCAATTCTGTTAGTTCATCGTCCTTGGAGCAACAATAACAAATGTACCAGGGAATATGACCTATCAATCTTAACTGTCCTTCACTGAGTGTGACATGCAAAGCAAATGCACATAGAAAATATTCTAGGGTTTATACTTAAATTTGGCATACAGTCTGCTGCTAAAAGACTAGCTCTCAGACTTTAATATGATGCATTGATTCACAAAATATTCTATAGTGCAGATGAACGTGAATTGCTATCAATAACCATTCTGTGCCCCCATTCACACATTAAAACTCCCAAACAAGTCCTTTTTCTTCTCACACTTGCAGGATAAAAAAACCCCACCACACCACAAGAGAAGAACAAAAACAGCCCCTTCCCATCTACCCATTTACCAAAACAGAGGAAAAAAGGAGTGGTCTTTCCAGAGTGTGTGGATATAGTTTGATATAGAAGCAGATGGGGCAGACAGAAGTTCTGTTCTTGAAGGGAGTTTGAGCCCCAAAGAGTCCATCTGAGGAATTTTCCATGCAAGAGAAGCCTGCAGAGGACTGAGCATCACTTCAAGCATGTCTGCTGATCAACAGTATAAAAACAGGGTTGCAGAAAAAGACTGTCTTCAAAATTACAAACCCATGCATATTTTCTTTTTTCCATTTGAGAGCAGCTGGTAACATCTTGAAATAAACTGGACAACAAACCACAAAAGAAACCTGAGGACAAATATATGCAAAGTTCTCTTTCACAAGCACTCCTAAATATTCTGCATTGGCTATAGTTTAATTAATATCCCTCAGGAAGGGCACAAACACAAGCCATGGTAGCTCACACAGCTGCTTCCATCAGCCCAGCAATATCAACTGCCTTGCTCAATTAGCCTTAACAAGCATTTTAAGAATTTTTGAATTATTTGTTCCAAATATCTGGCAGTGTCAAATATGCAGAAGATAACAAGCTGAAGGACATCAGTAAACCAAGTGCATCAAAGCCTATGCCCCCTTGCTGATCTTCCCAGTGTTATCATATGGAAATTGTTTAAAAGGAGGGGAAATCCAGGCTCTGTTATCCGCAGTATAGAGAACCATATGTATGAAAATGGTTGCTCCCAGTCTTTTAGGAGAGATCATGAATCAACACAACTTGTACAGCTGCTATTTAAGCCTTTCAATTTTGCTATTTATTTAATGATTAAGCATATGGATCTTACCAGCAATTCTGAGTAATTCCCTGAGAATGTTCTCTCCATCAAAATCTTTTTCTGAGGTAGTGTGCAATATACACCTTTTTTCAACCTGGAAGAATAACATGTATGTACTCTAGAAAATATATTGGTGCATCTACACAGAGAGAGAGAAAAAAAAATCTTTAAACCAGAGAGCTCCTTGCCAGCATTATATTTAAAGATTTTCAGGCACCAGAAACAGAGTATTTAAATATATGGAAAATTACTCTTAATGATTGAGCCATGAAACTATCACTGTGAGGGTGAGAAAGGCCTCACGCTAAAGAATATTGGCTGGCCTCCATTTGTGTCATCCTGCTTCTCACATATTATAGACCAATCAGTTTGTTAACAAACACTGATTATTTCCAGAGGGAGTAAGAGATACAAGAACAGATCCCTGCATTCATACAAAAAGAACAAGATGGTATTAGTTGAGGACCTGATTCTTCCAGTACGCAGTCTAGGATTGTTATTTCTGACCAGTTCCAGGGGGCCCTTTGCACCCATTAGTTGATGCAATATTTTAGGTCTGCTCCTGGATCACATCTTCCAGTTTAATTTAAATCCAGAAGAAATCCTAGAAATGCAAATCAAAGCGACTCAGACGGAAACAAGCAGGAGGTTCACTTCCAAAGCCCACTGCTCATCTGGCCTACAGTGCTGAAGAGGATATATCCTAGAGCCCTCACAGCCAGCCTCAGTCAGACTGGCCCACGGCTGCCCACACAGACCAGCACTGCAGGGCACCAAGGCACTCACCGTTACTGCTGCCCAAACTGACCATCTGCTGGTATTCCAAGATGTTCTCACTCAAAAGTGAATTTGAGTTCACAGAACAATCTTACTAAGAGGTAAAATTTATGGCAATGCAAAGACAGTGCTTGTGAACTGCTAGGCCCTCTTTCTTTGGATTTTGAGTTCAAGTGTTTTTTAGGCTTTGTACTGGCCTTTAGCTAGGGAGCATTTCACTGTTTGACAATGGAGGGATTGCAGAATCCTTCATCTCCCGTCCTTTTGCTCCTCTCAGAGGACACATACAACTCTTCCACCACATGCACCTTTACATGCATAAAATGCATATGCCAGAGAGATAACATCTCTTAGATTCATTCTAGAAACTTTACTAGATTTTAGAAGTCATTTTACTTGTTAAATTTCATTGTATGTAACAAAACAGTCTAATCTGATCATTTGATTCTTGAAGAGAAACACCTGAATTATTTGGGTCCAAAGTTTCACCGTTAGAAACAAAATATGACCAAGTTTCTCTAATAAAGAATCAAAAAAGTGATTTCTTAATAGTTATGTGACAGATAAGTCTCACATACATTCATGATAAAACTGACTTACTTAACTTAGATATCAAAACATATTGTTTTAGTTTCACTAACAAAATGTTGTTTATCTAAAAAGAATGATGGTAACAAATGAAGATATCTATACATCTGAAGGGTAAGTTAATATCCATTAGGCCAGTTTAGCAAAAAAAAACAAAATATATATGATTGGGACTGCTCTCTTAATTACACGAAATGCAGTTAATGTTTGACACTAATTCCTATCCCAAGCAGTTAAGCTAAAGTCCATTTAGGTTTTGTGTATTTGTTCTATTTTATGGCTAAAAATTCCCAACCAACATATTTAAGAGTTTAGTAGAATTTTCTTGTTCCACTTCCAAGTTTTTGAAATATGGGCTCGTTGTACTACTCAAAAAAACTGAGTCCTTGGTAACTATTAGCATTATATTAACTATGCCTATATGTACATTTTTATTGTAACCATATACATCTCTCATAGGGGCATGAGCTGGGGAGCATTCTTAGCTCATATTTGTTTTCCCCATGCAGCCACACATGTGGTGAACAGCTGTAGAAGTTGTAACATTGTCTTTACACTTTGCACGTGTTCTTGAAAATAATATGCACACACATATGCATGAATCCAGTCCTGAAGCAAAACAATGTACTGAATATTTCCTTTTACTTGTTTTTATAAATATTTGGCTATCCATAGATACATACAAATGCTTCTCGATTAACTCCTTTTAATCAAATACCAGCACTTAAATATTCAGAACTGCAGGTTTACCAATTCATAACATGAACAAACCTTTCAGCCACCTCTGTTATGGCAAAGAATCAAATGCTGTCAAAAGTGGATCTGCAAAGCAGCCATTACTAGGGGATTGTGACCAGCTCCACTGCAATAAAAATATAGAAATGAAAATGTAAATTGTTACTTAGATATACATTTTTCTCCAGGGTACTGTAAGCAAAAATTGAAAACAGCTGAAACTGAGTCACCCTTGTAGAAAGTAAATATTGCTAATACATATCTGATGTGTTAAAGGGTAGGGGATGCTCCAGGGACTAACACTCCCTCATTAATATCCTGTCACCAAATTGAGAGAAGGGTGTGGAGACTTCCCCTCTCTGGTGGCAGCTTAGTTTTCTGAATGCAGCTAAGTCAGTCCCCACAGAGATATCTTATCTGCAAGGCTCATGATGAGTATCTGAGGAATAAATGGACAGCATTTGGAACAGACCACACCGCATGAAGTAACAGTTATTTCGCAAGAGATTTCCCATGGCAGATATTCCCCAACCCGCATATGAGGGCTTCACTCCCACCCCCGCCACAAACAATACTGGCTTCAACGCTGTGCCATGCTATTCATACACTCACAGTGACTTTAAGCAATAAAGCACAGTAAAAGGGTACCTTCTTTCTTAGATGTGATTTAAGAAAAAAAGCCCATTTAAATGAAAAACACCTCGCTGCCCCTCCCATCTTCCATCTGCCAGCAAACACACATATTGCACCTGGGACTCACTACACACTAGGAAGGAAAGTGTTATACAAACCCACTGTTAATTTAGGTGAGCAAGTGTAAGCAACCTTTAAGTTCATCTCTCTGCTTTCTTACAATCTTCATAACATTATGTTCCAAATAATTGTTTCCTGTGAAAAAATAAAAAATATTTATAATTAATTATATTTTGACCAGCTATGTAGAGGTGTGATATCACTTTGAATTTAATGTTAGCCTGTAAGAAAAAAAATCAACTGCACATACAAATTGGCTACAAGTCTCTCACTCGTATACCACATATATCATCTGCATATACTAAAAACAATCAGATTTTTCTCTCCTAGTTAATAAAACTAGCAGAATCATTTTGGTGTTAGAGATAACCAGAGAGCTTACAAAAACTGTCAACTAATTTGAAAAAAATGGTTATACTTTATTACTTCAGTACAAAGTTAAATGTGTGCTACACGTTAGAACAGTACACTGATCATCCTGAAACTCTGATTTAAGGGCTTATCTTACCCACCTTTGCCAAGTTTTCATGGATCTCAGTTTTTATGGATCTCAATCCACAAGGTACATCGTTGTCAAGCCCCAGTTCTACCAACTACCCATGTGTTTAGCAATAAGTTAATACATTGTTCCACTTGGAGTTAGTCAACCTGCTCAGCTGTCCAAGTTGTGTTGAGGTAATCTGTCTGGAGAGATGCAAGCTGGAACTCCTCACTATTTCAATGAGCTCAAATCTACTGGTACCTGGAACTGATACTAACCAAAGATCAAGACTCAAATAAATATGAGAATCAAGCCAAGATAACCAAAGAATAAAAGTATATGCTATTCTGTAGGATATTGCATTACTGAGCTGTGATCCCAATCCTGTTAGCGCCTCTCACTGGGACAATTCACACATTACCTGACATGACTAAGTATGGCTCAACCATGGCACTTCAGATTCAAGAGCTTATGAGCTTTAGCATTTAGGTACACGTTCACCAGATAATTTGCTCTCCAATTATTTTTTCATTATTATTATAGTAGTTGTATTAGAGCTATTGCTGCTAGGTAGAAAAGACACTGGAGTTCCACATTCTGCAGATAATATTCACTACTTTTTCCCTCCCTTCTTTTAAAATACTGGGGCTTTCTTTTTTTTTTCCAACAGTTCCAGCAGAGATTTGGGAGAAGGAGGAGGGGAAAGTTGGAGAGATCCTTATGAGGAATGCAGTCCCAATAATGACTTACAGATGTCAGAGTAACATTCTGGGATTCTTCTATTATTCCAGAGCTATCATTTCTAACATGAGCAGAACAAAGGCCCCATGCACAAAACTGTAAACAAGTTTCTCAACTAAACTAGTCGTGGCAACTTCAACTATTGGGGTGGGGGTACAGAGACCTCATCTTTTAGGATCACACAGTAATTTTTTTTTCCTTATGATTTTACCACTGTAACTTAGAAGTGGGATGTGTCTACCCATTTAGATTCCAAATCACCACCAAATTATTAGAAATGTCAATGCTCAAGCAAACAAAACCACACTCAATACTATAAGAGATATACTTGAAATTCAGACATGCAACTGTAATGAGAAAAGATGGAGTTTTCCTTTCAAATGTATAAAGTTCACTGCCAAAAAAGGAAATAAAAATGCATCCAAGTTGGGCAGCTGAAGTATGTCTAGAAGAGTTTATGTTTAACTGCATCCTGCTTACACAGTAAATAGCATAATACATAATTATACTTGACTAATTCATTAATAACATTTCAACAGTATTAAATTAATATGCCGAGTGCCTCATGTACTATCAAATACTGTCAAGGTCCTTATCAGATAATCTCATTTACACAAGTTAATAGATTTTTTTCGTACATGTTAATATTAACATAGTGGTTTGTAATTATCAGATAACAGCTCATCTTTGATGTGACAATAGCTTATTTATGATGCATCACCAGAGAAGGGATTTGTCAACACATTTACTTCAGGATCAGCAAGAGAATTTGATTGGGTCGATCAGATTTTTCATTTGGATGCCATTCAGCATTTTTACCAGCAAAAAGGCACAAGAGGGGACACAGAAGCATCAGCTGTATCTGTTGAGAGGTCTGTGGAGAGGGACAGAATTGGAGATCAGGGCCCGCGCAGGGTACTGGAGGCCCAGGGATGGCTCTGGGCACCCTTCAGACCTTAACTTCAGAATTTTTTCATACTAATCAGTAGATGGAGAGTCCTGGAAATCCCTGACTCGGCTCATGTTGCTGACCTAGAACTGCCACAGTGGAGGATCATGCTACAAAGGCAACCTTGCTGTCCCTCACCATGGTGTAATGGGGAGTGAAGGAGCAACCACTGCTGCACTGGACACTGGGGTTCAGCTAGTGCAGAGTTCTGTCCTTGTCCACAGCCACTCTGTAAGAAATTGGAGCTTTGCAAGACGTAGTCAGGTCAATCCATCTCAGGTAAATTCTTCTAGATCTCATGAGGTCAAACTTGCTTTTTGACTGAAAGCATAAGAATGTATATCTTTTCTAAAAGATTTCAGTAGTATTTCAAGTCTGAGTACAGTTGACATTTTTCCTTGTCAACAGCTATCCCTTTGCTGAATACCACTAAATTCTAGATATCAAATGGTATCCTGAAATAATTTTTATAAGAAAAACTTTCACTGTATGAAAAAGATCTCCTTTCAATTTTGAATGCAAAGCACTTTCAGTTTTATGAATATCCTCTTCATCTTAGTTCTTAAGGTGAATAATGTTTCTGCTTCAACTTACCTTCTAATTTGTTAAAAAAGCTTTTATTTTACTAGACAAAATAGATGCATCGTGGCATATCTTATTTACCTGTAAGGTACATAATTCTCAACTTGCTTTTAATCAGAGTTCTTTATATAACTGTTCTCAACACTTTTTGACCCTACTAATCCTGATGTAAAATGCTGTAATTAGGGGCAAAAAAAAAAAAGATATTGCAGCGGAAGAAATCTCACCAGCTACATGACAGATGCTCTGTCTTCTCCCCTCCAATTGCACTCAGAGCACAGTGATGTGATACAGGGCAAGCCACCCACATGAGCAGACACAGAGGGAAATGAGGAGATCTCACAAGTGGCAGTTGGGGACCTTCCATGTTTGTAGTTGCCAAATAGACAAGTAACAATACCCCTACAGTTTCACCTGGTGACAAAACATTTTGCCTAATGGTTCTGGACTACCATAAAAACAGCAACAATGCTAAAAAGATTAAAAAGTTTTCAGCACTGAGGTTAATTTCAGGACAGGCCCAATAGCCCTTTACAGAAAGATGGTCACATTCCATACCCAAGGACTGGCATTTGACAAAATTGTTCATCAGGGAAAGAGTAACACTGAGAAAACTGAAAACTATTTTAAATTAATAGAAAGAGACATGGCACTTGAGCTAGAAAGAAGTCTCCTTAGAAGAGTCCCCCAACAACCTTCTATTTAGATTTCCCATGAGCCTCAAAAAAGTACTGAATACTACTTTATTCATTTTTGCTTAAATATTTATGTTTCACACAGCACATTACATAATTTTTCTAAAACATAGTTAACTCTGAACCACCTGTGAATGACAGAACTAGAGAATGACTAAGGTTGGAAGAGACCTTTGAAGATCATCTAAGTTCAACCTCCCTGCACAGAGTCACCTACAGCACACTGCACAGGATCACATGCAGGTGGTTTCTAAATACCTCCAGAGAAGGAAATTTATATATTCAGTCTACAATCATATTCAGTTTTTACTGTTCATTACTGAAGTCAAGAGCTGTGCTGCTTTATAAGGACAGTAAGAAATACTAGGTTTTTATCACTTTTTACCAGATGAAGTAGGCTCCACTTTTCTCTTGGCATCTCTATCGCACTACAATGGAACTTTTTTTTTCCCCGTTTCTTTTCCCCTTTTCAAATCTGCTCAAAATACAGATCAAGAAATATATTTTTTCCCTTCTTTAAATGAGAACATATTTTGAAACACCTTTTCAGCTTGCCTGTTTTAATAATTTCTTCAACAGCTAACAGAATTAATCAAAAGTTTGAAGAAATACTGAGCACTCAACTTCCACTGAGGTGGGGATTCTAGATTCGTTTTAAGACTAGACCCTCAGTAAGATTATCATGCAATATTGCTACCATTTTATTCACCACTCGCAAACCACAAGAAACTGCCCAAATAACTGAAAGCATATGAAGTACCTGAACATTGTTGTAGGTTTTCTTCTGACATAGAAACTGTTGACAGAAATATGTGCATAAAGTACAGTAGGATTTGTTCCTGTGCATACAGCAATTTTTATAATCAGAGCATGCAGAAATGTCACACAGTTCTAATGGGCCACATCATTTCTCCTTGATTAGAATACTCTGGTGCTGAACGATGCTACAGTGGATTTATGTTTGCAGGAATCACCTGAAAGAGGTAAAAGAAAAACAAGTTACAATTTTTGTTACTCATGGAAGTAGAAAAGCTGTCCAGAACAATTTGTTTTTAATGGCTGTTTTAGCTCAAAAGAGGCCCTGAAGTGAAGAATAAACAAACTGTCAGAAGAACAGAGAGTAAGTCTCTTAAGATCAAGGTTAAGGTTCATTGGTACAATTGCTCTGAGGCAAAAAACATTACCACATCTTGGATTAATCTTGGTATGTAGATAATACAAAGGTACAGCAGTACTCCACATATTGCGCCCGTTTTACAAGCACTATAAATGCAATACACCCAAATGTACAACACAATGCAGTGTTTTGTAAAAATTAATTATGAATTATAAATATATTGAGAGGTTTAGATCATAAGATAATAAACAAAGGTTATATAAGCATGCTCGCCTGGGCCTGTCTTGCACAAATTGCATTACCCTTCTTTAAGCAAATATGCTGGCTGGAATCCACAATCTAGCTCAAAAGCTGTCAGATTTCACCTCTTGCCTTCAGCTTCCTCCTCCCCCACAATGCCCCAGCATTTTATGGTTTTGCTTTAAAGCATAATTTTTAACATATTCTGACCCTCCCATGAAGAAATGAGATATGCAGAGTTAAATTCCATGCAAGATTCAGAGAGGTTCTCCACACACTTTGCAAAAATTGGTCCATTCATATTTGTCTAATTTCTTTTCATATCATGTTGCTGAACATTTAACTTTGTATCAGTTAAAAGAAAAGTTGTACCAAAACCTTCTGTCCTCCTCCCTACCCATAATTTACTTAAACAACCAAACTCCAGATTTCAGCTACACCTCTTTTACCCCTGAAATATTCCCCCTCCATAATCCCCCTGTCCACTCCGGCTAAAGAAATTTCTGCTCTGAGGCTGGATAGAAAACATCTTCTCAGCACATGGGCTCAACCCAAGTAGCATGGTCTTTGCCACCTTCAAAGCTGCCGCTGCACCACCTTGGCCTCAGAGAGAAGCCGATCACAGAGAAGGGCCTGGACAGCTGCAGTTGCAAGAACAGGACTCTGGGCAAGGACCTTTCCTCCTCTCTTGCCTGAGGTTCCTCAGTCAGGCGCTACAGTGTGCAACTTTAGTTAATGCAATGCCTCACACCATGCAAAAGTTGCATGAACCCACACTGATAGGGTGATAGAGACTTCTGATGAAGAAAGAACTGACCGAGCAGCACTACAATGAGACCAGGGCAGCATAAAGCTCCATGTCCACACTTGGATTATCCCCCTTCACAGAGCCCAGAGGGTGAAGGAGCGAAGCCATTTGCCTGACAGCGAGCATCTGCATCCCACTTCGGCACTGTCAGCAGCATCATTCCTGAGCTCTGGCAAATGTTATTTATTACAGCAAGAGAGGTAATGCTCTGTCACATTTCTGGGCAGGACAAACTCACAAGAACTGCCTTGGTCACTTACTAAACCTCTCCATTTGCTGATACACTGCTCGCTTCAGAGTCTGAAAAAAGTCTCCTTGGCACAGAGAGGTGGAATATTCCCACTGGCCTGAAATATCAGTTCTTTTTTCCATTATGGTGTTTTAAAAACTTTTATACTTTATACTGTCCAGGCCTTCCCTGGCCTGCAACAAAGCTAGAACCAGCACAAGTAACAGAGTCCATCGCAGGCCAAGTTCTATCATTAAACTGCTCTTAACAAAGCGTCTGTGGACACTAATAGCAAGAGCTGCTGTTGAGTCAAGGATGGGGCTGGGGCCAGGAGTTTGCACACATGATTTCACAGCCAGCTTCTCCACCAGCTTCTTTGGTATCGGTGCCCCTGCCCAAAGGCACCAGAGCCCACACATCAGCTCCAAGGCCACTTCATGAGCAGTGCAGGGTCTGCTCAAGCCTCAGGATGGCCAAGGCAGACAGATCCGCAAACAAGGTAGGTGTTTCTCACACATACTACTCATACATGTATGTTCTCACCACCCAAACCACCATGCAAGGCAACATGTTCTGCCAAAAGGAAGAGCTCCTCAATGGCTATTATCAAGGAGACCAATCTCTAGTGCTTTCATTTTGAAACTCACATAATCTCACTGTTCTAAAATGATCTATAAGTTTGAAAACTTCTAATTCATGCATAGAAGTTATTTTTGCATATGAGCAACTAGTTGGTAAGTTTAAAATGGTTTGACTTTAATTGGTTAGTTACATGTTGGTTTGGCTTTTAAAATCTGTTGCTACATGAATTCTACACATGCAAAAGAGCCAGGAATTTGATTAAGCTTTAATTGCAAAATTGCAAAAAATAAAATTGCAAAATATCAGAACCATAAAACAAAGCCATAGTAAGCCTGTGAAACATATGGTCATTTAATGCCAGAAAAGTCACAGTAAATAATTCCATGAACCTTGTGACAGATTAACTGATAGTTGTATAGTAAAATCCAATTACAAATTGAAGAGTTCAAACAATGGTAGCCCCCCCTCAGAAAATCATATCCCATGTCACCAGGGCACAGGTATGCGAAGCACCTCTCAACTCCCTGCCTGCCTTGATCCACATCCAGCAAGGCAGGCAGAAACTTTCTGGCTGCCCCTACCAGGTCTGGAAGCCAGCAGGCTCCTGGAAACGCTCCACAGGAAGACAGCAGCAGGGCTCAATGTGCAGGGTTTGGGCAGCCCTGGTCTAACCAACAGCCCTGACCTCACTGCCATCCATGGGGATTTCTCTCAAGAGCAACAACTTGTAGTTACCCTGACAAAATCTTACCTGCAACAGCCAGACGTGCACAATCAATCTCGTGTGCCTGGCCTTCTCGTGTAAACGGGTGTCATGTGTTGAGCAACGGCACTAATGATGGAGTCCAGAAAAGAAACAAATGGCCAGGACACATCAGGAACAGCAATATCCTTACAGTCAATTTTTTCAGCAAATAAGCACTGGAACTCCTCAGCACATTGCTGCTGCGTGACTTTCCTGAATGCAATATATCGGCATTCAGAGTCATACTTTGAACTAGCTGACAGTATACAAAAGATACAGAATAATGCTCCCCCGAAAGAGACATACCCCCTCACCTCTGTAGGGGCCACTCTGTGAGCAGGTGTGCCATCCACAGGGCATTTAATTTGGGAAGCCTAATCTCTGGAAATGATCTATTATTTCTTATATTCATAAATATTGAGGACACATCTTTAATCATTTTATAGACTCCACAGTACTAATACAGATAACTGAAGTAGCACCAGCATTAATTTATGCTTATTTCCAAGTTATAACTCACAACATAGATAACACATAACAGCCTGTAAATGGCCATCCTGCAAAAAGCATTCCGTGCACTCAGGCACAAGGATGTGAAACTCAGGGAGCAAGAGCAGGAGGCTGCTCCATGAAGCAAGGGGAGCCAGAGGCCAAGGGTGACAGGGTCCTCTGACCAACTGCCCTATGGCAAGGAGTGAAGAGCAGGTGTGAAGAAGGTAACCAGGCTCAGCCAATAGCCCTGTTGTGGTCAGACAAGCCTGTGCTGACAAGGCAGCTCCAAGGCCAGGGCGCCAGCAGGTCAGCATGGGCAGGCATACAAGGCATGGGCCTAACTAGCACACAGCTCAGACAGGCAAGGGCCTGAGCTTAAATGCTGAACCAAAGCAGGGGGCACAACAGCAGCTCCTCACAGCCCCTTCTCACAGCTCTTCCCACAGCAGCCCTGTCCAAGGCCACGCAGCTGCACCATATCAGGGCTGGCCTTGAACAGCAGCAGCCCAACCACCTCCCTGTTGGGAAGCAGCTGCACAGCAATGAGAGATAGGAGGAATCTCCTTAGTCAGCTCCATGGCCTGATTCCGGGGTGTCCCTTTTCCCAGATGTGTCTGATAACACCAGGTCAGCCCATTCTAAAGCACCAGCCCATCCACAGGAATCCACAGCTACTGCAATATTCATCATGTCTGCTGAGTTTGTGTCCTCAAACCCCATGTCCTCTTTCCTGCAACACAAGAAAAAACCTGCTTCTGAAGGCCAACCAATTCACCAAGCATCTGCTCCGCTCCATAAACAACCTGCCTGCAAGCAGGAGCAACTGATCCCCTTTAAAAGGCTTATTGGAACAGCCAGTGCTCAGGAGCACGCACAACAGGAACAGCCTCAGCTAAATGTGACAGCAGACTGAATTCACTGCCCCAGAGGGCAGCATAAGCTCTTCCCAGGGTACTAGACCAGCTCCCAGCACAGTTCCAGTTGCTGAGGCTCCAAGGTCCCTCGGGTATTCCTCCAGAAATCCTCAGGAGGAATAGCTGTAGCTACCACAGTACTGCAAGTGTGGGAATATACTTATGGTATGCATCTAATTTTGAAGCATGAATTTCTGGACACAAGACGATCTTGTACAAGCGTACTCAGAACAGAGGAACACTCTGCAGTTAGAACTGTTCAGGCCACTTTGCGCCCCGTGAGAACAGGAATAAGTCATTCTGGACATCTCAGAGAAAATGCCATAAAACAAGCACCTCTTTCCACAGTATTTAGAGAAATTTAATTACTTCTATATGGCCTTGCAGATGAATGCACAGTACCACACTACTCTTAAAAAGATGGCCAAATTTTGCCTGTGTAAATATACAATGTATAGAACAAACATATCTCCTGCTCACATTCTCTCATATAGAGAGATAGTTTACTGGGGCAAAACCTCCCTCTAATTCTACAGTAATTCTGTTTCTGACTATGCACAATAGTCACATACAAGGTTGCCACAAATGAGTATGTCACACTGAAACACTAGTTACTACTGCCCTGGCTCACTAGCTTCAGGTACATTGATGTTAGAAATGTGAGTTTCATGTTTTTCTCTCCTTAAAATTACAACCATTTTACAAGTTATGAGAATAACTTTTACTCCTGGTCTCCTTTTTCTCACAATCACACATCAGTTCTAATACCTTCTCCTCATAGATGTCACACACAGCGTTCAAATGTCACCCAGTCACATGTTGACTTTCTAAACAGCAGCTCGTGCTGCCTGATGTCCTGAGCAAGCATTCAGACACAGAAGGAAATGGCAGAAGCCACTGAACCACTAACTGCAATTTCCTTGAAACAAACGGAATAAACATTCACCAGTCCTGAGCTGACATCTACTGGTAGAACACTGCATGTGTAGGGCACTAGCTATACCCAGGAAACACAAACTGTTTTATTAAGGTTCTCCAGTGAAAACTGGGGAAATGAGCTGAGACAGAGGAAGATGATAGGTCATAAAAGTATGCATTTCATGCAGTTCTGCTGTGAAAATAGTAGCCTCTCACAGCAGGATCAAAAGTATTGAGGGAATTAACTCTCCAAATAGTACCTCAAGTTTCACTTTTCAAGCATAATTACAGCTGTTTTGTTAATATAAAAAACTATATTAGAATTCATTTTAGTCAGGTCTGCTTTGAATCAGCTTAACTCAAAGGGCAGCAACATATAACTCATTGCAATTGTGTCAGAGCAATTCAAAGGTTCTTAAGACTCAGCTGAGACAGTAATTAATGGCATATGCATCCTCCTAACAAGCTGCAATGTACAACCACTGAAGAGGGTTTACAATTCAAATTATGCTGAAATAAGCCATTATTAAAACAAAAAAAGTGTTTTAAGGACTGATACAATACTCCTGCAAAATCTATTCAAATCAGAATGCAGACAAAGCTGTAGATGCATCTTTTCCAGGCTTTTTCATGTAGTTTAATGAGGAGATTGGAAGGCTGGAGGCATCCAACCCTTTAAGTACCAAAGGAAGTGGTTCTCTAATGCTTTGGAGACATTCATATGCTGACAACATTGCCACACCATAATGGCCTTTGAAAATTGTTACCACAGATTCTGTTGAACTACCATAAATTACATTACTTAACTCCCTATCAGCGTCTGAGAGGTCTTCTGTTCTTGCTCAGTGTACAGAGAGATTTGTATTTTCCCAGGATACCCCTTCAAGGCACAGAGCAGCCCCCAGCTCTGCTTACAGGTAGGGTCTGAGGGTAAGTTTCTAGCCCTCCTGGAAGCACACAAGCTTGGCCATTGGAAATAATGGCTTGAAATTATTTTGAGGAGATAGTGGCCATCAGCAAGGGGAGTGAGGGTAGGGATGAACCTGAAGAACCTAAAGGGCAGGCAGGCAGCCAGCCCCCAGCCAGCCCACGCAGGGCCAGGCTCGCAGGGAGCCGGGCGGCTGGAGGGACACGTTCCTCCCAGGTGAGGAGAGCAAGGGACAGAGCGAGGCAGGCAGGCCGCTCAGCCCCAGGCTGAGCAGAGCAGCAGCGGGGCCACGAGGAGAAGCGCCCTGGCTGTCACAAGCAATTGATTCAACCGTAACAAAAGAGCCCAGGAATTTCTTTTCAGGAAGAGAAAAAGAGGTAGCTGCCAGCTCCATGGGCTCATGATGTAATATGGCCCAAATTAAGGATCATTCTGCAAGACTCCCTTGGTTGGACACTGGCTGAAGGCTGAGTTAAATAAAGTGTGAGATTTCTCCAGCAAGTGAGACCATGCTAACAGTGATAAAGACAGCAGCACGAGCACAGCTGCCTTCTGGGACAAATGGATTTCTTTTTTCCTTCCACTGTAGTTTCCTGTACATGCCAAAGGGCTGCCTGCACAACTTCCACACATGCTCTTATATAACTCTCAGCTCAGCATTGCTTTACAAGTAACTGGGAAAACAATTCAATAAGTGAGTAACACAGGGCTTCACTGTCATTTTCCATAATGAATACAACATATTCAGAAGGATACAGCCTAACCTTCCGTGGGAAAGGAATTCTGTCAAGGAAGCTGCTAGGGTAATGCCCCTCCATCTCAGCAATCCCATCAAACTCGTAAAAATGCACTAAAGTGCATAAAGAATGGTACACTAATCTCACTTACATGGACAGTGCTATGAACATTTTAGAAATAATGGTGAAGACAGCAGTATGGCAGTGACCATCTCCTATCTCTTTCCCTGCTATCACCAGTTATCACCAAAATATTGTTACAGCTGCCTGCCTACAGCTCACAGACGCAGCAAAAATCAAAACAGGTAGCAAGCTCTCATGTTATACAGACAGCAAGGATTACTGCAGTAGTCTTTAAAACTTTTTTTCTCAACATTATGCTTATGTTACTGTAAAACATTCTTCTTTAGCATACTTAAACATCATACACACAAAGACGTGATTATTTTAAAGCTGACTTTACTATGTGATTACAAACAAAACGAGATTTTTAGGCACAGTATTTCTACATTCACAGCACAGCCTAGCAAATCCAGCTGACTTATAGCTGTGCACAACAAAAGAGATTCAAAAAAGGATCAAGCAATTACAAACTACAACTTAAAGGGAAAAAAGCTGAGTAAATACAGCAAGTTTAGTCAAAGACAGGGGTTTTTTTTGTTTGTTTGTTTTTTGCCACTACTGGGACTTTTGCCGGTACTTCTCTTATCTCACTACCTATCCCCATCAAAACTAACAAAACTCATAACTCCTGAAGGAGAGGCTTTAACTCCAGTGGGAGAAGTCTCCTTTCACAAGTCTTGAGACTTACATGGGATTCCCCTCCTATCCTTTTGCTTCACTTTGAGAAAAAAACGTATTACTTGCTCTGTCTCAAATACAATGACCTTTTAGAAACCAGTAAAAATACTCCTTTCCTGCCACCCCTCAAGAACATACTTTGCTTTTAGCTACTTCTAACTCAATAGAAATGCCAAAGGAAACAGCTTTTTACTGCTTCTCCTAAGAGCTTCACCCCATGCTCTTAACAGATTGAGTTGCTTAAGTTCAATTAAGGCATGTATCTACCAAGATAAAGTTAGAACCTATAATACCAGCTCACAGATTTATTGCAAATCTGGGAAGCTTCCAATCTAAAACTTAACCTGTTCACCAGTACATCCTACCATAATAGTATGGAAAAGTTTGCTATATAAACAAGGAGATCAATTGCTTGCTTGAGAAGAACACAAGTAGTTTCTGGTCCCCCAAACGACATACATAGCCCCATAAAGGAAAATATCAAATACAAAGCTATTTTTACAGAGCTATCTTATACCACAACATGCCAGAGCTAAGATTTTCCAGTAAGTCAAAAGAAGTAGACACTTACTTCATCAATAGCCAAAAGTCAGAATTAGTAAACTAAATTCCAAGCTTTAATAACAAGCTTGACACATTAAGAAATAAATTGGTCCCCAACCTAATGGTATAGTATTGCCTACTAAATATATAAGGTTTTTGAATAATGTAATTAGATAGACAAGCAAAAAAGATAAATACTCTAGGTCCCTTAAATTAGACATATTCTTTATTAGCCCCTACTGCACTATAAAGGAATACAGTTACAAAAAAAAAAAAACAGAAAAAAAATGAAGAAAAAGCCATAAACACTTACTTCTAAATCTTTAGACTTTAAATGTGTAACAACAGGAAAAAAAAAATTCTAAGGCGAACTTCTCAGAGCTTCCCACACCTCCCCTTATCTTATTCACTAGGCAGCAACTGAGCAGGCCTGCTATAAATAATGACCTTCACAGCTGTTTCTATTTTATACTGATAAATTCCCAATTAGAAGGGCTGATAGAGCAAATTTAAGTCAGGTTTTTTAGCTCTGTTGTTGGGCTAGTATTAGAGAAATAAAAGGGGGAAGGGAGTAGGCTGTAAAGATGCTTGTGCTTTTAATGTTTTGTTCTTCCCTGTTTCTTTAGGTGGAAAGGGCCTGTGGTTTTTTTTTTTTTTTGCTCTCTTCATCAAGAAAAGTTAAGGTAAAAGTATCTATGGGCTGTTTTTTGGGTGGCATATTAATTTTGAATTACCTCAGTCTAGTAAGTTAGACTGATTAGTTGTAGTGTTATTGATTCTTCTAGGTGTTTTTTTCTTTTTTCCTTTTCTATGGCTAATATTTTCCTGATGTATTTTGTAGGAGGTCTTAACACAGCAAATCATGGTTTTGTGGATATGTGTAAGAGGCTAACTCTGAAATAAGCAGTCAAACTACTTGGAGCTAGAAGGCTGTGCTTGGTTCTGGATTTAATGAGTTGGGTTTTTCATATTATTTGCCAAATGAAACTTTTATGTGAGAAGCAAATATCAGCTAAGTGGAAAGTTGTTAAAAATGTCCTGAAGGATGAATTGTCCTTAGTAAGGAGAGTCATTTCTTGTAGACTACGTGTTTCTGTTCTATATGTGGTATGCTAAAGCAGCTGCTTTGAGCTGCTGCTTTTGATTAGTGGAATGATATGTGAAGCTCTAAAAATGTAGGTAAAATGCCAGATTAAAACAGGAAGCCATCTCTTTGGCAGGCTAGTTGATGATCTCTGATAAAACATAATCTTTTTTAAAAAAAAAAAATACTTGGGTGTTGTTGAACTTGCTCTCACTGAGTCTCATGAGATGTGATAGCTTGCCAAAAGCTTCAACTTTGAAACTGATGTGATTGTGTAAGATGCTTATTTGTGTGTGTGTATGGTTTTTTAAATTAATAATTAAAGGTAAAAACCATGTCTGTGTCAACTTGGTTAAAGAACTCAAATCAGAAACTGAAGGGAAAAATCTATGCTTTCTTCTATGACTGTTTTTTTGGTTGTCTTTGGAGGAGGGGAGTTGGGGTGGGCCCTGTTCTGGGATGCTGGGAAGGGGATAGTTAGAAAAATATCAAATAACTTGGTTGGCTGGAATCTCTTTCCATTTCTGCTGTAATATACAAATCTAGACTTCATTTTATAACCTAGCAGAGGTATGATATGAACAGCAGACAGGAGAATGGGAAAATGGAACAAAATGGAACAAAATGGAACAAAACATAAGTCTTTGTCCTTTGACTCACCTTTAGGTGATGCAGATGTATTCTTCATGGAGTACACATTTCCTAAAGCATAAACTAAGCATCCAGGCCCAAGACACTGTGTGTTGTGAGTACTTAAAATTTTGATATTTGGGTTCCTTAGGTGCTTGTGATGCCAAGCTTGAGCTTCCTTCACAGCTCTATTGTGCTCACTTGCAAAATGTGCAAAAAATGTTATTCCTTTCTTACTACTGAACATTATTTATCTGCTTTTTATTAAGGTTAAGTGTAATGGGCAGTCTTTCTTCCATTTGCTGCTTCTACCCTCTGTGGGATGAAAGCAAACAATTTCACTATTACATCATAGTGGATTTTTGTTTGTTTTTTAAAAGAATAAATTTTAAAAATTGATAGTGTGGCCTAGTAAGTGAAACAGCGTAACTGAGACTAGGCTGGGATGTGGGGTTCTATTTAAAACAACTTAGGATTTTTTCCCAAATTTTAAATGTTGACTAATCTTTGAAGATACTTACATGTGTATGTTCATTTTCACTTATTTTTTGCCTCTTATTCAGAGATGTAAATTCTGGCATGAAGGGCAATATTAGCATGATATGTAATGCTATAAATTTGATATGAAGAGTGCTTATCAAGTCTAATAAACATTCAACTTATTCATCTTAAAATTCAACCTAAGTCATCCAAGTTGAAAAAGCTCTGACTTCGTTAAACCCTTCTTGGTGTAAGAAGGGATACACATAGCACTAGAAGTGGCAGATCTTCAAAGCAGCTATTTGGGGGATTGGATGCAGCTGTGAGATTTGGTGGCTGTTCATACTTACTGGTGTTACTTTATATAAACATATTGAGGAAGGAGAGAAGAGATGACGCTACTTTGCTGCAGCTGTTGTTCCCATAGTCTTTGTTCTCTGCCTCTCTTATCTCTATCCTTCCCTATTTACATATTGATTGCATGAGAGCAAATCCAATGCCTGGAACTTGCATGTTCTTCCACACTCTCTTCAACATCTCAGTGTAAATCTTTATGTTGAGTTCTGGCCCTTTCTTGCTTTAGAGACTGCTACCTGCTTGCATGGTACTGTCTGATGGAGAGACAGGCTAAGGCTGTCTGCTTAGTAACAAGGAGATCATTTGCATTCACTTTTCACCGTATGCAGATGTTGCTGTTTTCCAAGGCATATGAGTGCTCAGTACATGCAGCCTCCAAAGCTAAAGGGATGCTGCCCTTGTGCAGAGGGCAACAGGCTGATAGGAGCCTGAACTGTGATACTGCGTTAGCAGAAAGCAGCAGAGCTGGGACTGGCTAGAGGCAGGAAGGGCTCCAGGTGCTCTGGAGGCAGAAGGGACAGAGCCAGAGAGGCTGCTCTCAGTGCCTGGACTGGGGCTGGCCTCCCTCTGGGGAGTTAGAGCATCACCAGCTGAGAACAGAATTCATGACTGAAGTGCATGGGTTGCTCTGACTGGAATCTGGTATCAATTTCTATGGAAAAGAAATGGCTGTATGACCCTGACAACTACATAAATGCGACACATTTTGTACTACACATTCAGTACAGCATCTGGAACCAAAAGATAGAAGGTGAACAGATTATAGCTGCCAGCTTTTCTTTAAGAGGATGATTAGGATGTTGGCATACAGTGCCTCATCTTTAAATACTGTTGCTTTTGAGCCCTTCTGAAGGGAAAAGTGAGAATATACTTGAAATATTTTTTGCTAAAGTCACTTTTGAGCTTGGAAGGCAATTACTTACCTTACTGTGTCACACACTAGTACCTGCCACTGTATCAACTAGTTTTGCAAAAGCAGTCAGATGAGAAATATCTAACTTCAGGATTAACATGCTATTAATCACAAGGCAGACTTCACTTTCTTGGTAGAATGTGGTGTTTTGTGTGGTGTACACAGGTGCTTTGTACATGCTGTGTTCTCACATCTGAGTATTTAATTCAGGCAAGTTGGGTTTCTACTTGTGAGTAGTTTGAAGTTTGCTTTAGAATAAGTGCTAGATTTTTCTTCATTAGAAGATACAGAGTATGGGATATAAAGGATTCTAATCTTTCTATTTGAGTAATACATTATTTATGTAACTTGAAACTAAAGCATCATGCCTAAACAATTAAAATAGTCCTTTCAAGTTAAATGAATATTCTGGAAAATATCAATTGTCTTGATGTCACCTTTACTTTCAACCTCAAAACTGACCTTGTACTAGACTTGGTGCCTGTATAGATATGCTGAGTCATAACTCATCTGTTCCTGGTTTGAACAACTCAGCTTTATGTATTTTCTCTCTTAACAGAAAACTTGGATGGTAGTACAGTTCAATGAAATATTTCTGCCTTTTGTAAATGACAAGAATGAACACACGGGGGAGAAATCTGAACAGCTCTTCAGCCTCAAGAGCAGTTGCAGAGAGGGCTTTCTTTCAAATGTAAAAATAAAGGACAAAGACGAGGATGTAAGATGTGATATGCAATCTCTGATAGAGAACTGCTTTGGGAGAGGGAGGCAGATGCTGTTCTGTGGTGTGATCAGAGTAGCTATCTAGCTAGTGATGACACTTTCTAAAACGTCCATGAAACACTGCATGCCATGATCAAAAGCAGGCAGTCAGGTATTTGAGTAAAAGCAGGGTGATCTGAGAATGGACTAAGTAATGCTTGGTCTAATGAATGCATAAAGAGCCACCATTATACTAGTAAACTCCAGAGCAGCATTAGAATGAGAAAGTGCAGCTTTTCTATTATAACAAGGAAGAAGTGATTTAGTGTTTGGAACCCTGCAATGAGCTAAGAAGGTGGGTAAGGACTGGGGCTTCTGTGACTGTTGTCTAGAACGCACTCCAAAATGTGGCCTCTCCACCCTCCCTAAGCACCTCTGTTCTCTGCCACACTAATACTGTACTAGCTAGAAACACATTATCACAGTTGCTCCTTGCAGTAAGCTAAAATGATGCAGAAGAGCTGGGAGGGCAAAGAAGTTGTCAGTCTTGTCATAAAACAAAGGTAATATACAGTGGCAGGAAATACTATTGTGCACATGCCTAAACCGGAAAAGCACTGTGTCATTTATATACTTCAATGCTAAAAATTCAGTATACTGGCTTATGCAGGATTTCTGTGAGGTGACTTTATAGCAGTGCCTAAGGAAGGCAATATCTAGCTGTTGTATGCAAGATTAGACTTGCAACATGCTGTCAGGTTGTATGTGAGTACAAAGCTACAGGGCTCTGGAGCCAGGGAGGCAAACATCTTTCTAGGTTTTGATAGATGACCTTTGGTGAGGAAACTTGCATGTAGGAAAAGCTTAAGAGCTCTACACACAAGAATAAAATGTTATATATGTGTTAAATGCCTGACTTCCTACCTCATATCTTTTAATTTTTCAGGCTTTTAATGCATGTTTTTATTTGCTTTCCCTGAAGAACTGAACTGCACATCCAAATGTGAACTTTAGAACAAATGTACCTTAGTCCATCATGAAGGTACACTGGTGAATAAGTATCAACACTGCATAAACACAAGTGTCTGTGCAAGCACTGTTAGATCTAGATACCTCTCCTTAATAGGTGTCTCTCTTTCTCTTTTTAATCTCTTTTTTTTTCAATTCCCTTAGGTTAGATGTACAATGAAGATTTTGGAACAAGTGGCTACATAAGCTTGCTGAAGATGTCTGTTTCAAATCAACGAAGTTCTATTATTGTCAACCCTCCTCCACCTGAATATATAAATAACAAAAATAGTGGCTGTCAAACGAATCAACTTCAGTACTTACAGAGGGTGGTCATGAAAGCCATGTGGAGACACAACTTTTCATGGCCATTTCATCTGCCTGTAGATGCAGCAGCACTGAATCTGCCTGTAAGAACAATATTGTATTGAAGTGAAATACTATGATGTGAATTACTGTTTATTTAAAAGATAATCTATACAGATCATGGAAAACTGTTTGTACACTTTAATACAAGAATTTCCAGTTACTTCATGTTGTTTTCCAGTCACCAAAAGGTTACAAAAGTAGTAGCTAGGTAGTATGGTTTAAGCCTATAAAACTACTTAAATGTACAGCACAGAATGTGCCTGTTCCCCTACCACCATCTTAAGCAATTCTATTAGTTCTCTTCCTCTGTTTCTGTAATATTGATTCTACCAAATCACTGGTTCTATCTAGAGAAAAAAATTGTCTGGATCTGTTTCTCAAACTCACTTGATCAGGTTCTTCAAAAGCCCTGCAAGGTCACTGCCTACCTGCACCTCTCTTTCTCTTGGAAGGAACTGTCACTGACAGTTAATATTAAAGGTCATTCAGACAGAATAGTGGCAATAATTGCAGCTGGCCTCAGGCCACTTCTGCCTCTTTGGATTTCTGAGGAAGCTACTTATCTTGCTAAAATAACATGTATTTTAGGTAACCTTTCACAGCCAACAAGAACTTCTGTTCTTCTGTGGCAAGGAGAGTAAATGTATTTGTGCATACTTTGCTTCTCTGTTACAGGTGTTAGATGTAGAATGGATAGACTTGACTAGCTCTCTTTTTCCTAATGGTGTTTTGAACTCAAATACTCTACACTTATGATAATCAGATAATCAGACAGCTTCTGAAGGCTTTTCATTAAAGTTTGCGCACACAGAGTAGTCTTATAAAGTTACTACCAATTAATTATAGTGGTGATATTCATGTCCTGAATATTAATTTACTGGAAAAAATGAGCGGTGCCCTGAATCAAACCTGAATTCTACTGAGGTAATATAATAAATTGTGGTGCCTTTCACCAATCTTTCTGCCCTCTTACTAGGTATATAACCTGGTAGATTAAGTATTAAATCTGTATCTAGGAGAACTTGTGTTTTGTCCCTTTTTAGTCAACAAGTGAGTGACTATCTGTCTTCAGCTCTCTCCCTTGTCCTATTCTGTAAAATGCTATGTTATGTAAACTGCTTAGAGCTTGGGTTAAAAACTAAAAACTAAGCAGGTTAAACTGCTTAGAGCTTAGGAGTGTAAGAAAAAAAGAAGGTTTAAAAAAAAGTGCAAATATACTTTTCATAAGCCTGACTTCAGTATAGTTACAGTATAGCAATAGGATCACATTGAAAAAAGTATGTTCTTTAGAGCTTTAAACTTTCTGCAGAAAGTTGTAAGAAAGGAAAAGGTGGAAATGCAAGGTCAAGAGTTCCTGAACATTTACTTTTATGGTACCTGTGGCTGTACTGAAAAGTCTTCCTTCCAGCATAAGTTTATCTTTTACACTTAAGTTTTTCATACTTACATCTGTAAGTATCTTCATGTCCAAGTACTTACAGCATTTCTTGTATTATTTACACTTTCATAACTGCAGGATTATTACAGTATCATAAAGAAACCCATGGACTTGAGCACAATTAAAAAGCGTCTGGAACATAATTACTACACAAAAGCTGCAGAATGCATTGAAGACTTCAAAACTATGTTTTTGAACTGCTATATATATAACAAGGTATGTGAAATACAACAGCTTTCTCTTACCAATAATAAGCAATAAGCAATGACATTGAACAATACAAGCAAGCAATTATTCCAGCTAGCCCAAAATTTGTCCTTTACTGGGAGAAATATGTGGATATATGAAAAAGCAGGATTGTGCTAGTTACTACTTCAAAGAAGCTGCTTGTAATGGAATGAATGAAGAGGGGAGAAAAGGGGGAGCTGAGGTCCCCCTGTGGTCCTGCTGACTTGTTTCAGTTGCTGGAACAAGAGACTAGAGACTGGTTAGTGGAAAAAGCAAGTTTGCTATTACAGCTTCTCCTGTACTCTGAACATGACTGACTGTATTTTACAGCCAGGTGATGACATTGTGTTTATGGCACAAGAACTAGAAAAAGTATTTTTGCAGAAGATAGCACAAATGCCACCAGAAGAAAGAATAGTGATCCTCAGCAAAGGGAAGAGAAAAGGAAAGAAGGCAGAAGGTAGGGATGCTCCTACTGTTTTGATAGAGCAGACTGCTGTGAGCAAAGGAATATTTCTTGTTTTGAAGTCTTTGGCTTTATAAGAAGATCTATATATGCAGTCCACTTCCCTGAAACCCCCAAGAGATCTCCCTTTTGGAGAACATCCTGCTTTTGCTTAGGGTTATATAATATAAGGTGATAGGTTTGAACAAGTATGAGAAATGAACAGGATGATAAAGTTGTTAACAGCTACCTAGTGTACCTCTGTGCTGAAAATAACCATCACCCACAAAAACGCTAGCCTAAATTGTCTCTATCATCAAAATAGTTCTGTAATACTTCTGAGCAAGACCTGCAGGAGCACATAAGCTTGTTTAAAGCTCAACCGTGTTGAAACTCAAATGTTCTGCTTCCAGTTTGAACCCACTGCTGCTTGGCCTTTTTGACATATCTGTAAAGAATGACTTATCCTCCTCTTGCCAAAAATCTTTGCCAGCTTTGAGTGATGTCTGATATTCCCTCAGAGTGAATTCATAGCTTCCTTGAAGCAGGGTATCTAGCTGATACCCTCATGGCTTTGAAAGAATAAGTGCAAAGCACATACAAGTGCTTTGCTGTATACAGCACTGATATTTGTTCAGTTTGGGGAGCAGGGGTAGACACTCTGCTGATAATTGATGTAATCATGGAAAAAGTAATTGCAATATTTAGGGCATAACTGATTTTTTTTTAATGCTAAATAGAAATTCAACAGCCCTTCCCTGGAACTTCTACACAAACCATGACTTGGGAAGAGGCTGAAAGCAGCGAGCAGCCTCCAGTGACGACTGGAGAACTCCAGGTCACTCCGGCCCTTTTGCCTACAGCTTGCCTGCCTGCTCTGATGCCAGCTGCAGTGCCTATAACAAAAGTAAGTTACCTCATAACTAACTAAAAAAAGATATTGAGATTACTGTTCCAAGCACCTAACAGTAAAGCCATAGGTGCCAAGTATCTCTTCAAAGCTTCTATTGAGATGGTAAAAGGTTTATTTTAGATATTCTGGATTCCTGCTAAATAACTGGGGGACTACTAAATTCTATTAAGGCAACATAGTTTATATTGTTTGTGTTTATTACTCGGTGATAAACACTTGGTTTATCTTTTAAAAAAAGTGCCTTAAAGATGTTTTTCATACAGAAACAAAGTGAGTTTCAAGATGGTCATTTTTGAAGTGTATTCCTACACTCCTATAGTCTTCACATGGATATAGAAGTGCCCTTTTCTTGAGAGTCTGAAAAGGTTTTTAACAGTAAAACAAAGCTTTCTGTAATATCTAATTAGGCTTTTCACTGTCAGTCAAATGCTTAATTGCCAAAAATAACATGCTTAAACACTGTAGAAGTAGTCTAAAAGGTGTTTGTAGCTCACAAAAATATTAGTAACCACCTGAAATATGAATTCCTCATGAATACACTCCATTTTTCATTGGTTTAGTTTTGTTTGCGCTCTTCTAATTATGTGCCCGTCTCTGCTAGTGAATATTCACTTGAATGAAGGGTGAAGGACTGAGGAAAAGCATGTCTAGTCTATTCTAAACAAAATACCACCCAAACAAAAGAAAACAAAGATAAACTACATATATAAAGGTCTGCAACCAGACTCAAACTAATTTGCAGTCCCTTTTTCTGTTCTTCCCCTAACAGTAATCTTGTCCCAACCTTATAACCTACCAGCTTCCTGGAATCTTCTCATACGGCTTAAAAACAGACCACAGGCTGACCTAGAGTACGCCCTGTTCTCATCTTTACCACTCAGTGCCAAGCTCTGTCTTAAATGTGGCACTATGGAGGCTTTCAGACTTTCAACTGAAAAATAGGGATTTGGGGAGCTGTAGAAGCTGGGGTACTTCCTTTTATTTTTTTTGCTTAGTTTCAAAGCTGTCTGTTCTCCATTCTTCTGGATACCTGTGTTCTAAACTACAAAATGATTTTCTAGGCTAAAAAAGGTGTGAAAAGGAAGGCTGACACTACAACTCCTACTACTTCAGTATTCACAGAAAGTAAATCTTCTGCAACATATAATGAAAAAAAAGCTGTTAAAACTTGCAGAGGAGAAAATGAATGCATGATACCAAGTAAGCTTCTGAAGGCAGCTTTGCCAGATTCCCAAGAGTCACCTAAAATTCGTAAAAAGGTTCGGTTACCAAAACAGCTAAAACATTGTAATGAGATACTGAAAGAAATGTTTTCCAAGAAACATGCAGCATATGCATGGCCTTTTTTAAAACCTATGGATGTTGAATCCTCCACTGGTGAGAACCAGAAGACCACTAAATGCCCTATAGACCTGGGAACCATTAAAGTAAGTATGTTTTGTAAGGAATTGGGATATGTATGTTTGCCTCTAACTTCTGTCTTGAGTGGATTAAAATATGGTTAGCTGAAAAGGCATCAGGAAAGTTGCTTCTCATTTGAAAGAGCTAATGGGCACAGAAACTAAATATATTTTTGGTCAGTTCTAAGTTGCAGCTTATTGAAGAAAATGTCTTCTAAGCATCATTGTGATTCTGTTTATAGTGGCTAATCTATTTGTTGAACACTTTAAAAGCACTAACAGGAATTACTCTCTTGTACCAAGCACTTCTAAGCAGGCTGCTATCAAAATGTGCCAAGTATCTTTCAGTCTGCCTGTAAAATGCTATTCTTCGTTTTAAACAAAAAGGTAGTTTTGTGGTGTCAACTTCTGTTCCAATCAGAATATCATTATCATTGGTGAAGGGAACCTTAAACATCAAATATGTAAAAGTTGCCACCTTTTAGTCTCTCTGTAAAAAGAGATCTTTCTAGTTGGAGATACTAGTGGCCATTGTTTGGCAAACAGTAGGCATATCTAGTCTAGTACTGAACTACTTAAAGTAAGACCTAATATTGGGGAGAGTGACTTGAATTTCAATAGTTGATTGAAAGCAGTTTTTAAGCCGTTCTACAATATAAGAGCCACTGAGAACTTCCAGCTGATTATTTTTACTCCAAAAATGGTTATGGAGAAGGCTTTGTAGACATGCTTAGAATTGAACAAATATTGAACAAAATTCAGAACTGCGTAGAATTAGAGTATGGTTAAGGCTGTAAGGTTTCTTGACCTCTAGAGACGGTCTAATCCAACCCTGCTGCTCAAGCAGGGACACCTAGAGCACAGGGCACAGCATTGCAGCCAAGTGGCTGCAATGCTAAATGCTAAATGTTAATTCTGTTCCTTCTCTATTTTACTGCTGGTTCATGGTGACATGCTCTAGCTCTAAAGTTGGAAGCCCTAAGTGTGCATTCATTTTCTTTCCCCATAGAAGAAAATGGATAACTCTGAATACAAAGATACGCAAGAATTTGCCACAGACGTCAGATTAATGTTCATGAGCTGCTACAAACATAATTCTCCAGACCATGAAGTAGTTGCTATGGCAAGAAAGCTTCAGGTGAGTTTTCAAGCAGGTCAAACTGAAAACAAGGTAGGAGATTCCCTTTTGATCATATGCCCTAATTTGATGATATGCATCTATTGATGTTACCAATGTCATGTTGCTGTGTAGTTCTGGAAAACAAGCAATGACTTCATAATATTCCTAAGCCTGAAAAAAAAAAAAAGTGTTAATCTCTTTGTTCCTGAACTTTCCTGTCTTTAGGATGTTTTTGAGATGCGTTTTGCTGAAATTCCCGATGATCCCATTGCAAGCGTTTCTCCATCACAGCCCACAAGGGAAATAGCAAAGACTTATTCCAGTGAGAGCAGCAGTGATGAATCTTCAGAAGAAAAATCTTCTGAGGATTCTGAAAATCAACAAGCAATGCAGCTGGCAAAGCTTCAGGAGCAGGTAAGTAACAGCGCTCAGACATGCATGACAGCTGTAATCTGTCTCTGATAGTGCCACTTGCAATTCTCCATCCTAAAACCTACTATCAAAGGTCAGGATTTTAAAAATCCAGTCTTCTGGACTTCTTAACATAGCTTTGTTTCCTGAAGGAAACATCTTCCAACTTCATCTACAAGTGAACATTCTCTTAGCAAATACAAACTATTTATCTGAGTTTAAACAAATTTGTTAACTTCTCCAAAACTGCATTAATTGTTCCAACCAGCCATTTCATATTATAAAATATATTGGATTTAAAGGCTGAAGGTGTAGAAGACAAGTCCCATTAGCCTCATTCCTTAATATTTTTTTAAGGCATAATCCAATAAAGCATTTATGCTTCCCAAATGCTTGAAATTAGAGAAGGTGGCTGGATGCTCCTATAGCAATTCTTGTGTTTTCATCTTCATAGGGTGTTAAAAGACATATGCTGAGAACTACTGTTAGAAACAGCTGCTTAAAATATGTAGCCTTGTGTCTTTGGAAGACCTAGTCTGTCTGTGACTAATCCATATGACAGTGAGATGCTTGGAAAACAAGCCTTCTATTAATAATCATTCAGATGCCATAAATGCCCCATGATACTAAGACTTGTTTTTCTGTTGCACTACCTACAACTTTTTTTTGTCATTGCTTTCAATAGCTTAAAGCTATGCACCAGCAATTGCAGGCTCTGACAAGAACATCCTTACCTAGATTGAAAAAGAAAAAAAGGAAGACTAAAAGAGAAAAAAAGAGGAACAAGGAAAAAAACAAAATAAAAAGCCTCATCCAAAGGAAGAAAAATCTAAAACATAAGAAGAAATCTAAGCAAAAGCTGTCTTTAAGCATGTAAGCGTGGGGAGCTTGCATGGGTGTCAAATTATTTTAAATTGCTGTTACCACAGTAAACTCTTTCTTGCAGTCAATCAAAGAACACCATGCAGCATGTCTTGTTGGCACATAAGTCAGAAGATGAAGATGGTGCCAAGCCTATGAATTATGATGAAAAAAGGCAGCTGAGTTTGGACATAAATAAACTCCCTGGAGATAAGCTTGGAAAAGTAGTCCGTATAATACAGTCAAGAGAACCTGCTCTGAGGAACTCTAACCCTGATGAGATAGAAATAGACTTTGAAACTTTAAAAGCTTCAACACTCAGAGAACTGGAGAAATATGTGGCAACTTGTTTGAGGAAGAGACCAAAAAAGCAACGTGGTATGTATGTAGCATAAACGATGCCTGAAAATGTAGATTTACTTTGATTGTCTGTGTTAACTTCTATTTCACATGCAGCTAGAAAAACAACAAAATCAAAAGAACAACTTAATTTTGAGAAGAAACAAGAGCTAGAGAAGAGACTACTGGATGTCAATGGTCAACTAAGCCCAAAGAAGCAGAACTTCAAATGTAATGTGGATCTTGGTCTAAGTAATTTGCAATACAAACACCTTAAAATAGGATTATCTTGGGCCTGTGTGTGTTTTGTGAGGTCTTTTTTTTTGAGAGGGGAGTTATTCATCTAGGGATTTCTTCTCAGCATATTTAAGTTAACAAGCTTCCACTGCTAGTCTCTAGACTTTGTATATTACCTAGTGTACCAGCAGCAATTTGTCCTGCCTGAACTCTTAGTCTCATGCCTAATTCTTTATTAAAAGGATAAATGATAACTTTGTCACTTCTGTAATACGATAAAAGCTGTAAGGATGACAGAGGATGCCACATGATTTACCTTCACCGGTCTCATAGCCAACAGTTTGTAGAGGCATCAGGCTCAGTTGAAGAATGACACCCCATCACTAATTCTGCTCTTCTGGATTAGACGGTAACAACCTGGCTTGGTATTTTCAAGTTGTTTCCCTGCCACCCCTACACTATGGACTGAACATATATGCTTGGTTTGAGATGGACTTTTCTCTGACTTACAGACCAAAGAACTCTGGTCATATGCAGCAATAACAGTAACAGTTCTGCATCACTGACAGATCTGCTGTGTTCCCTTAGGCTTAAGGAACTGAGCCAGGAAATATAACCTGGTTGTCCAGGCTTTTCAATGGCAAGGACAGTGTGACCAAATCCATATTACTGATAGCTCTTAGTCATGGACAGTGCAGCTAATGCTACTGTGACAGGTTGAGATCTTCATTGAACTAGTGAGTGCTATTTTTGTCCTTTATTGAATATCTAGTAGGTTCCTATGTAAAACAAGTTAAATGCAATGATCAAAGTTGTCCTGCAAAATGCAGGCTTGCATCAAGCATGAGCTCAGGCAGGTCTGTCTTGCATACATGGTGGCTGGAAAACCTCCTAGAAAGAAAGAGCTGCAAGAAGCAGCAAAAACAATAACTAAGAATGCTGTAGAGGGAAAGCAAGCTAGGGAATCTTTGCAATTGGTGCTTAGCCTACAGCCTTTCTTGAGAACAAGTAGGCATGTTTAGGTAGTTTGTCCAGCAAAACAGCTATCCTTGTGGCTTTTCATTTTCAAAACTTCACCAGAGCAACACATTTTTAAAACTGTTTTTGACTGCACAATCACTGTAAATTCTAAGTTAAATCAGCCCTGCAGAGGCAAAATAGTCAGATGGTAGGGAGGTGGAAATAGATGACATCCTACAGTACATATGTCTCAAGAAAGAGAAGAGCTGGCTATAAACAAACTTCAGCATGCAAGTCTGGGAGGAGGAAAAAGAATCAGAAAAAATCTCTCAGTAGCTACAGGACTTCTGGTTAAAACTACTTGACCTGGTCTGAAGGCAACTCATCCTAGTTTACCTTGGAACTGTGTGTGGAGGGTATTTGGATAGTTCTTTGGATATTTCACTCATACAGCTATCTTATAGTTGGTAAATCTCCATCTTCTATGCAAGTCTTAAATGTTTAATTGAGCTAAATAGATTGTGGACAGGGGAACAGCAGAAGTCTCAGCCATATAGCACCATAGTCCTCCATAGGGTACTTCACTGCAGAGTGTTGTAATTTTTTTTGCCTTATTTTTTGCTTAATCCTTTTTCTTGAAGTTGAAAATCCTGCTGAGGCCTGTGTTGGACCTAGCCGACTGAGCGACAGCAGCAGCAGCGGCGGCTCCTCGGACTCCGGCAGCAGCAGCACCGGTAGCGTGTCCAGCTCCTCCGAGAGCAGCGACTCCGAAGCGGGTTAGATACCTCCCCTCGTGGCTGTGTGGGCAAACCTCCGCCTTGGGACTTGCTGTGCCTGCTTGTTCCCAACGCTTACAAGAATTGCAACCATCCTTCTAGGCTTGCTTTATGCTAAGGTCAAAACTCAGTGCTATTCAAGGTCTTAACTGTGTTCTTAAAAAAAAAAAAAAAGCTTTCTTTAATTTATCAATGAACAGCCTTAGGGAAAAAAAATTGCTAGTAAGAGATCTATGTAGCTATTCTGGGAACTTGGCTATCAGCCAAGTAAGTCATAGCTTACCTATGTCTTCATGATTTTTAAAGTTTTTTTTAAAAAATTTTCTGGCTTGCAATGTGCAGGAAGCATTAAACAAACTTTTTTCTCAAAGGAATTAATCAGGAATGTTTTTAGATGAGATTATTTTCAAAATAGTTGAGGCTTCTATATCTATAAAAACCAGGGCTGACTCCCTCTGGATTTTGGAAGTTGCAGCTCAGATAGTGGAAGAAGTTAGATGAGCTGCTACAAATAGCTGCTGCCCTGTGGGTAGATTTCCCTAAAACTGGGGATGAAGGTGTCAGCAGCACTGACTGTAGGACTCTAGCCTGGAAAGCAGGGCTATTTAAGGTGTCAAGCTTGTTCTGGAAGCACGTTACAGTGCTTCCAGACAGCAGACAGATGTTTCCCTTTGTGTAGAACTCATAGCCTTCTGGGACTGGATCTATTTGCCAATCTACAATTTAGATGTGTCTTAGGGAACAGTCTAAGATGAGATGAATGCTAGCATTGGGGAAGCACACACAGAAATGTTGTTGATGGTATCAAAGATCTTGACCCTGTGACAACCTGCAAATGGCCTCTTTGTATAACCTTTGGTAAATCTCTATGTAGATCAAGCTAAACAAGTCAAAGGATTAAGAATAATGTTCCTTTCTCTGAGATTTGATACTGTAGGTACAACTGCAACTCCCACCATGTATGTGTGAATAATGCAACATATGATTTTTTTCTCCCCCTCACTCTGCCCACCTTGCTCTATTTGCATTTACAGAAACATGCTTAAAACAGAACAGAAGCAGGCAGAATTGTCCAATTTCTATGGAACAAGCTAAGGTAAACCGATCAAGATGGATAAAATGCGTTTGCCCTAACTCAAGTTTTGTTAAATACAACAGTACTGGAAATGACAGAAGCTGTTCCGTTGCTAGGAAGTAACGGATGTAGCTTGAACACTGTACTGTATGGGATGCATGGAGATGTAGAATCTGCTGCTTGTTCAAAGTAGCTTAAGTAGCTGCACAGAAATTGGGTTTGAATTCCTGAGGTTCTTTTGCCTCTTCCACATATCCTGGTAGTTTGGTGTTGGGTAAAGAAGGGAAAACACAAATGGCAAACGTTATTTGGTCACTCCTATACTGTTTTTGAAAGCAATGCAAACACTGATAAATCACCTTTTCCCTAACTACGGTATTATAAGCAATAGCCAAGTGTTATGAAGAAACAGTTCTTACTGCCTCTAATGTCAAACTGTTTGGCTCACCTGGGAACATGGGGGTGTTAATTCTTGCCAGAGTGTTCTCCCTCTTAAATTTTCTCGTAGCAGCGATGGAGACCTCAGATTTCAAAGCACTATTACAGCATAGCCTTCATTCTTTCAGTAGACAAATTTCATTAAAATGAGAAAGTATCAAGAATTTACCCTGATACTGGAAAATAGATTGTAAGATTAACTTGCTATCTCTATTTGGCTGTTCCTTTGTCATCTTCATAAACTACAGCTGAGGAGATGAAGACAAGAGGTTGTTTTGCTAAAAAGTTGTTTCTTCAGTGACAGAACAGCAAAAGCTTGAGGAAACAGATTAGAGGAGTTAAGCTTCAGTTTGGTCAGCTATAACAAACCCTTGCTTCCTGAGCAGAAAAAGTGTAAAAATGCAGAACAAAATGAAGTGTGATGTTTTGATTGAATTCTGCGTACTAAGGCAGTGCATTTTACCATGTGGAGTTTTGTCTAGTTGTCTAAGCTCTTAGAAACACTGCACTAGTCTTACAGTAGAAGCTCTATAGTGGAAGTAGTGGTTGAGCACTAGACTATAATGCTGAAATGTCTTTCCAGAGAATGCCATTGTCTTTACAGAGGATGTACTGCAATGCTGCTCTACAACCACAGCCTATGCCACCTCTTACTAGTAGCTTGCAAAATGAAGGATCACCTGAAATGCAACAGCCATCTCACAATGTACTGGAGAGGTTTCAGCCTTTACAGAGTAGGTCATTCAAATCATCAGAACAAAACATACTCTCTCTCCCTCAGCTAAAATCATTGTGGCAAGAAGCATAGCTATTTTCCAGTGAAGGAAAGAAAGGCTGGGAAACATAATGTTGATGTTGCCCAAGAAACTTATCTTGAGGTTTTTGGAGGTTTTCTAGTTGGTAATGTTGAAATTTCCAGAATGTGCCCTTTGAAAGGCATGACTGTAAATATGAAAAGTGTAAACATACTAAAGATTAGCTGGGCTTTCAGATTACTGAGGCATGTGTTGTGGAGCAGGATACTATTAAAACAGCACTGCTCCTGCTCCCTCAGTGAAGGGAGGCAGCAACTGGAGATGAAATGCAGAGTGTCTCAATGAACCTAGGCAGGAGTTTAATATGTTTAAACCTACTACAAGCACAGTGAGGTGTCTGAAATACCTATTTGCTGACTTTAAGGCTTGGTACCACAAACCTAGACATCAAATACAAGTTGCTTAGAAATGTAATCAAGAAGTAGATACTTCTTCCCCGCATCATAAAATGTCTAATATCTCTAGACAGTTATTGATAGAAGATAGTTAGCTATTATCTCAAGCTATCTGTGAAATCAATTAAGAACTAATTAAAAATAGCTCTCCTAGTAGAGCTAGGGTATATATCTTCACACCTAGTTAATCTGCAGTTTTAAATATCAACCTAATTGAGATGTAGGACTGCCCTAAGTCTGATAGAAGGCATTATCTTCCCTCTTTCCCAGGTATAAACAGCTCCACCTGTTCCACATGATATTCCAGTCCAGTAAATGCCTCACTCCTCAAAGGACAAACCTCTTGCCACCCTGTGCACTCGCAGTCTGCCAGAGATGAATACCCAGTTCTCTCCAAAGCATTCATCTTAAGCAGCTTTTCCTTTCCCCAAGTCTATACTTCTTCCTTTAAAGATGATCTGAGACTGTAGCACTCTTGGCTTGTGCCTGACACAATAAAGGCCACTCCAGGTTTATAGCAAATCTCTTGTTTAAACCTCCACTAACAATGTGATCCTATTGACCTTTAATGAGGCAAGATCCCATCTCCTGTTGGTCACTACACAGAGGAAGAGTTTGGCTGATGAATGTTCATAATGAAATATAAATATTTCTTTTCACTTTAGTGCTATAGCTTAGACTTTTATAAACCTTTGAGAAATATATGCCTGCTCTAAGTCTCTTATTGTTACAATATAAGAAGAAATCCCATTTTAAGAACTTTATATTTTGAAATCTAATTTCCCTTCTAGGTATCTGATACAACTTCCCACGTAGATGTTATTCATTGGACTAAGCAAGCTGAGAAAACAGTAATAAATCCAGATAAATCAAATAAACTTCAAAACAACAATGATGACAGAGCTGCTGATTCAAAATCCATAAGTCAAGAACAAAGTATGTACTGTCATAATAAAAAGTATAACCGAGATCAGGGGTATAAAGTTAAAAGGTATATGTGAATCTCACTTAAATAAAATGCTGAAGACTGGTACATTAAGAAGTTTGCGAAATATGGTGTGGGGAGCACTTTTCACTTGTTCTTCCCTTTTTTTTTTTTTACAAGTCTTTGCTTTTTTTAATATAAAGAGACACCTTGTTCTTGTTCAGTGCTAAGACTGTAGAGCATTTTTTAATTTTATTTAAGGACTTAATTTTCTGAGTTTAAGACTAGGAATAAGCAACCTCGTCTTTTATGTAGAACTGGGTTAGGCTTTAAAACATCTTATGCTGAAGCTCTGTAGCACTTTTTCCCCTAAAAAGCTTATTTCGTGTGTATTGAGGTGGTAACCTCTGGCTCTTGGAGATGATGGGCATCTGCCAGAGTATAGGAATGTCAAATAGTTCTTCAGCATGGAACAAACTGATAAAATTCACTGATCTTGTAATTATTGCAATAAAGTTAAGTGGCTAAGGCACTGTATACTTATGTAATAGTGTGGTATTTGAAGAAGTCACATGCATGAGACACTCATCTGTAATGGCTTGCAGGATATGTGAATGGTGCATGTAGAACAGTGCAGATATGAGACTAAAAGGGCCTCTGAAAGCAATGTTCAAAACAGGGATGCATCCAATTTCATGCATATTTCAATATAAAGACTTATAGATTGATCTATGCTGCTGTTGGCCTACTTTCTACAAAGTATACATGTCTAGAAACATATATCTTCTAGAAAAATCAAATGGTGTTGGACATAACTCTTTTTTTTAAGCCTCACCTCTCCAAACTGCCTGCATATGGTTGAGCAGGAGATGGATGAGGTTTTTGAAAACTTGACTAAGCTTAAATGTTATCATGTACCTCTTCAACTGTTGTCAAAGAATAATGCTGGATAACTAAGGGTTATGCTAAATCAACTCTAAAAGTGCAGACGTAGTTGTCTACTGCTTTATTTAGTATTTGCATGCTCTTAACATGCTTATATGTACATATTCCTTCCATATCTCTTTTTTAGGCTTGTAGCAGATGGAACACTAATGATGTTTTGGGGTCTTCTGCCATTTTAATTTTCTGGACTGTAAACCTAACTGAATGAAATTGAATAACTGAATCAAAATCCCAATCTTCTGTGAGCATGTTAAAGGACTAGGAAAATGACAAAGAATTCAAGTTAATTGTTTAATGTTTGTAAGGGAGGGGAAAAAAAGCTAGTTATCGGAAAAGCTTCTTTCTTTCTATGCTTGTTTACTGGTTACCCTGTATTCCTCCTGATTTTCTTCATTTTAGTTTGCACTATCTTGCTATGCTTCAAATGCTCTCTGTGCAGAGAAAAGTAGGGGAATTCTCTAATGATGATTCTGCCTTTGAGCAATTGAGCTTGAGCAGTGTGTTGTGTAATGCTGTTTTGTGAGTGCTCGCTTGCTCCCCTCCACACCACGGTGCTGCCCCGCTGTTTCTGTACGTGCCCCAGCAATGCTCAGTATTGTCTGTCACAGAAGGGTCCTGCTGTTGTTAGTTCCCTCCCACAGAAAATAGAAGGAGAAAAAACTGCCAACCAACCCTACAAGTTTGTTGCTTTCTCATTTAAAAAAAAAATATATATATATATATAAAAAAAACCTGCCAGTCTGGAATTGCTATATAGCCACAAATCTGTTGTCAAGTGGAGTAGTCAAATGTTACGCATCTTTTTAGACCAAATCATGGAAACTAGCTCTAATTTGGTCTGGATACTTAAATCATTATTAATTTTGTAAAGAATTCTACCATTTCGGGCATTTTTGAGGTTGCTTATACTTAAAATAGGAGCTTTCTGATTTTAAGCTCACAGCATCTCAGACACTCTGGGTACAAGCTTGGCGCTGCATATCACTGAACTCGGCACTGGCTTGTTAAGAAGATTCACTTGTGAAATAAGCAGGTAATCACAAGCTTTAAGAAATGCATTTCTTTTAAATTTCTGCATAATATTTATGCTTTTTTTTTGTCTTAAGGCTTTAAAGCCATTTTCTTATGTAACAGTAAGGCTCTCTTGTAGCATATCACGACAGTTCAGATGTATTTAGTATTATCAAACTAGTAATTCTAGTTTGCCTGGCTTTCCCCATCCTTCATAATAAATGGACCACAATGCAAAGTATTTACGCATCCTGTAGGCTAGCAGAAATGCACTGATGAGCTTTCAGTGGCTGACCTACTTGCCTAAAAAAGCAGAAATAGGCAGAGCATAGAGCTGTAGGCAGAACGAGTTTACATGATGAATGAGAGATCAGTTAGGAAACAATGCTGGAATCAAAATGGAAGTGAGTGGGGTGGGAAGGGGACAGGAGGTGAGTACCCTACAAGGTGCTGCAGTGGAGGACTTTCTGCCAAAATGATTTGGACATTTTGCTGGGAGACCTCCTAGAACTGGGCATTAATTTCCCATCTATATTTATTTAACTTAATTTATTTACCCCAAATTGGAAAGAAACTCTTCAGTTCAACCTAAGCTAGGAAATGTGCCTGTATTAGGGACAATTTTTTGCCTTTAAAAACAACAATCAAAAAACAAGAAATGTAAAACCTTAAGCTAGTTCCTAGAATGACTAAATTTATCACTTAAATTTGAGGTAACAATTCACAAAACTCAGCAAATCACTCTTTTCTCTCTCTCCCTTCCTCCCTCCCTGCTTTCCTTCTATTAGGTCATTCTGACACATCTGCCAATGATAAAAACCCATTAGAACCAAAATCTCAGATTCTTCCTAAAAAGGTAAGAGTATTAACCAAGTCCTGCTGAGGAATGTATAGTTCTCTATAAATCCTCATTCTTAGGACTTTAATGCTCAGTATCTGATAGGTCTTTGGCATTGTCATTACCTGTACAGCTTTTCCTCTCATTTGTAGTGCTAAACAAACAAAAATCTCTGAACTCTAATGACAAATTTGTACAGTCAGGATTAAAGTGCTTCTACAGTTTATCTTAAGGTATTTAGCTTTCAGAAAACTATTAATTGGAAGGCAAATCTAAAAACGCAAAAACCTGATGAGAAAACATACAGAAGTTCAATTGTATTGCTGTATTTGCACTAATTTTCTATTGAAATAAAGAAGCTTTATTGCAGATGTTCATAGGTAGATCCGGCCAATATTGTACTAATGTAAGAACTAGGTGTACAATGCATGAGGGAGAAAAAAATAATTATTGCACTATATGTATTTTTTCTCTAGGATACAGGAATTAAGAATATAGATTCCTGGCTAACCTTATGTAAAACGATGATGCTTCCAGCTCCAATAAAAACATCTGTTGACTGCTTCAAACAGTTCCGAAAAGCAGCACTAGAGAAGAGGAGTGAGCAAGCCCGGGAGATAGCAAGGTCCCTGGTGCAAGCTGAATAGGAACTGCACAGCCTTCCTCAAGGAAAGGGGAGGTTTGTAACCATATATGCATAAAACATTACTCTGTTTTTTGCCTGCTTCAATTATGTTCAAGGTCTTCCATCTGGATAGTTAAATGACCTTCTGGATTTGCTTCTGCTTAAAAGCAAACAAAAAAAATTACCTCAGGCTGATTATTATAATTCTTTAACACTTACATATCCTTACCTGTGATGTGAGGCACCAGCAGCTTTATGAACTGATAATGCTATTATTTAACATTGTATAATAAATATGGCTGTAAGGGCTATATGGCTGTCACAGTTGAAGAAGCATCTGGCTAGTGATGTAGTGACAGTAGCTGTGCTGGAGCACTGACGTGATGCTTCATCCTTCAACCTCTATGAAAGGAAATTTACTAATGTAGCTCTGTTTCAGTAATGACTGGCTGAAAAATCTTTATGGAATCTGCTGTGTATTCTACTTGATTAGATAAAAAGAATAGGAAAAACTACCAGTTTTTGAGTTAATAGATATCTTAAGCATGTGTTGCTTACCCTCAAAAAGGCTGTTACTGGTTGGCTAGCTTTTGCTTGGGAATGATCACCCATTCAGAAATGGGTAATCAGATTAGGCAATAGCCATATGACAGATGGACTTGAAGGACTATACCACTCTGAGCATAAATATAGTAGTGTCCTCTGTGTTGTCATAAAGAAACATATTTGGTAGGCTCTTGCCTTGGTATTTATCACAGCTAATTTGTAGCTACTGCTAAAATACCTGTTTTAGTGGGTTTCCTGTATCTCTGTCTGACTTCTACTGTTATGCTGAGTAGTACAAGTAACTGCCTGCTAATTACAGCAGTGTTGTAATAGCTTGGAGAGCTGCTTGCTATCTTCTTGAAACTTGGCTTTCAGAAACAGTTTCTCCTTAGGTACTTTTTTTCTCTTCTGTTTATCCCTGTGAAAGTTAAGTCTAAGATTGGTGGCTCAAATCTTTTGCTCTGTTCTCCCAACGCTGGTGTCTTAGAATTGCTCACTTGCTTGGAGTGTGTTATCTTAACTAGAGTATTTAAGGAAGGCTTAGGAGTAAGTGCTTTATTCAGAGGCTATACCAATGAGTCAGGGAACCTTCAATTACTGCCACATTCCATGAGAAGGAAATTCATCCAGGTCCAGGAGCTGCGCACACACTGTATCCCTCTTTCCAATACACAGACAAAACATCAGGACCTCTGAGCAACTGTCAGACTTCCTGTGAGGCTGAAACTCCTGCACAGTAGCTCTATATTCCACAGAACTCCAGCTTTAGGAACCCCATTGTTTCACATCCAGGATGCTTAATGTGGGATACTGCAACACATGCAAGTAATACTGGCTCCTGAGGTTTTGTTCTTCCTCTTTTGTCCTTCCTCCCAAAAGAACTCACGTGCACTGAAGAGGCACCTTGCATCAGCACTCCTGCTGGTGTGGCTTGTTGGAGATTATAGTGCAACCTGTGCCTAACTCTGTAAAAGCCAAGTTTCCTCTGACAGTGCTGGTGCTCCCTCTCCTCACCAACATGCAACTACTGTGTTGTCAGTTCTAGGCAGCTGTCAAAGCTAATGCCTCTTCTGACTTCGTTTTTTTTTATGGCATGACAGTTGCTCTTTGCTCTCTTTTACATCTTCTATAAATACTTTTCTGTAGGCCCCTAGATGGTAGTGATTCATTGTTGGATGAGACTACTTTCTGTTAAGAGAAACTCTCCATCATCATTTAATGTAAGGGAAGCATCTGTAGAACAAATCACTTGAGATGCTTGCCTGAAATTTGTAAAGACTAACTTAAAGAGCTAGTTGAAGAGGCAGGAGATAAAACATCACTAGCCAAGGAAGCAACTTAAGTGTATGTATCTTGTAAGGAAGAGGATTTCACTGTAAGTTGTGTAGCACACACAAACCCTACATGCATAGAATGGAACATAGGGAATCTTATCTTCCTAGAGTGTACAACTGTACACATGTACTTCTTGCAAAGGACTTGACATAAAATGGTACCACGCTTTGAATACTAGGTGCTGATTTCTGCAGAATTGCCTTCAAGTGCAAATGTTTGTTATGAAGAAAAGAAAGAAACAATTCTTACCCGACATATATACTTTTTCAAGGAGCTGTGAAGGGGCAGGATTGGAAGCCACAGCAGCAAAAGATTCAGAGGCCCGAGAAGAAGAGTGTGAGAGCAAACAACTGCCAGAAGTTCAACAACACTCTTTTGCTCAAGATCGTAACCTGGCTAGAAAAATGGAACAAGAACGTAGGAGGAGAGAAGCGGTAAGTTCCTGGCTTTCCCGCTAACTTTGTTTCATTTTACTGAGAAAAGAAAATATGCTATCTCAGGTCCTTACTTTGAAGGAATTGAACTATTGAAAAGAACAGAACTCTGTTATCTGAAAAGCTGGTTCAGAAAATGACTTGGGTTTTCAGGTGGTGCAGCATGTAAAGCTCTCTATTTGGTTCTATTACTCCCATCAGCCTAGAATAACTGCATGGTAAAATCAAATTTTAAAGTGGTGTTCCTGGTCTCTAAATTATTTCAAAGCAGAAGCCTTGCTAGTGGTCCCTCTTCTAGGCACTGCCTGTTAATAACAGTACTGCTCATGTTGTCCTGGTCTGAAATACCAAGACTGAGTTTTTTTAAAATACATCTTACCAATTTTATTGGTATTGGTAAGGAATGCTCTTTAGTCATCGCTATTTCCCAGAATAAGTGCATGTTTGTTTTAATGCATAACATAGACAACTGAATACAGTGGGATCCAGGTCACACTGCATTCACACAAGGCCTCCTGAAGCTTGCTTTCTGTGCAACTGTTTTCAGAGAGGACTTTACAAGCTTACATATGCATGTTGTTTGTGACAGAGGAAGTTCTGGGGAAGGATTTAATTTATTTTATATCTTTATTCTTTCTGTAATTGACCTGCATGGTATTTGCTACATTTGACTGCACTGAAAATATATTAATTTTCTTTCTCACAGATGACTTGTGCAATTGATATGAATTTGCAGAGTGATATTATGGCAACTTTTGAAGAAAATCTTGAATGAAAGCTGTAGTTCATGCCGAACTTTGACACTACTGCATATTGTACAACATGAAAATGTACTAGTTAGAAGTTTAAACATTAACTTTAAAGAGTATGTAAATGTAAAGAGTATGTATGTATTAAAATGTTTAATATTAAAAGCTTATTGGGACTTCAAGGACTTGTTGCTTGTTTATAATGAGGTCTACATGTTGCTAGGCAGTGGAGCCTAGTTATTTTTCTGATTACTGTTATCTTGAATATATAGGAGAAAGCACCAGTATCTTGAGTTCTTTTTAATTTAAAACTTGCTTTAAGCTCAATTTTATCGAGCTTCTACCCGTGTTACATATATATGTATATATGTGTGCGCATGTACATGTGTATTATACCAACATTGGGTGGAAGGGTCCAGCCTAGTTGAATCTCCCACTCAGCTCTTTCCCTGTGGGCCTTTCCCAGCTTCCTGACCGTTGCCATCCTGCACAGCCCCCATGTGAAAAGGGGCTGCTTGTGCTCCCCACCAAGCGTAAGAACTCAACCGATCTCCCCTTTTTCCTTCTACTTTCTGGGATGACTGAGAAGAGTTTGACTCTATCACCACAGCACAGGAGGGGCATGTGCTTGGGGCTAATGCAGCCATTCTAGCTGCTACTCACTTCTTGCAGTGGGATATTCATTCCCTCTGCACTTAAGAGGCTGGGGGAAGCTCACAATTAACTCCAGGATTTCCAGTAGCCTCTTTCGAGTTTTATTTAGAGGATGCTTTCTGCTCATTCACTCTGACATCTCCTTTCATAAGATGCTCTATGCTCACTATGACACACAAATACCAACATCAATCACTTTCTTCCTGTCACACTTTCCCCTCCAGCAGTAGAAAATCCTGCAGCTAGTCTGATACCAAGAAACCGTGAACACTTCTTTTCTACACATTAACACAAAGGCTGACACACAAAGAAATTATTTAAATTAGTTATATGCTAATCCTGAAGTCGGCAGTATGAGTAATCTGAGTATGGAGGTAAGGTCAGGCACAGCTCATACTCCTACAGGAGCTGCAGAGGTTACTGTCCTAACCGAACCACAGCAGCCTCTGCTTTCCCTTCTCCTATGGCCCAGGAGGCGGAAACATCCTTAAACAGCCCTGCATTTTCCCTTCGTGTGAGCTGTGGGGCTGACCCCCTGACAGGGAGTAGGGCAGAGCACTAGCAAGATTCACACGTTTTTCTAAACACATAAACTGAAACCACCGTTGTCATCTGATGTACTTAGAGCTGAGTTCTGCTAAGAAGGAAGGATAAAAGGAGGCTAGATGGCTTCCTTTACACTACCTGAAGACGTTATCTTTATTAGTAAAAAAAAATAGAAAACCAAATTTCAATTTATTTTTATCCTAAACTTTTCAATGAATGAAAAGGCAATAATGGGCAATTCTTTAGAATGTTCCCTTTTCCTCTTAAGGTTTAGTTTGATTATACGTATAAGAAAAAATCTGAACTCATGGAAAGCAACTTTAATTCTGCCACTGCATTCAGTGACACAAGGATTCAATATTGGAATCTATATTTGTGAGCCTGAATTTAGAACAAGTAGGAGAAAGCATTTGGTATGTTACAGACAAACTGTCTGCAAGCTGTGTTCCATGCATAATGTAAAACAGGATATATATTCAGTCTATATGCCCGCTTCCCCAACTGCTATTTTGAAATAACTCAGTTACACGCCTTTGAGTTATCTGATGCATGGTGCCTTTGCGGCAGCTTCTACTTGCATCATTAGGCAGATCACAATCAGTTACTTTGAAATTTGAGTTCTAATCTTCCACACTCGGCTGAACCTAACACAAATCTTGGCCTTCAAACAAAATTTGGCCAGCCCCTTCACCCCCAGACATCATGAAGGCAGGTGCAGACAGGCCTCCAGTGCAGGTGGCTCTCCTGGGGGACCTCTCCATGTGCTGGAG